TCAGAGTAGATTTTGCGCCATTAATAAAATCTGTTCTGTTGGGTTGTGTTGTTCCTAGTTTCCAATTGAAGACAATTTGAATGTAAAATTAATTGAGACAATAGCATCCATCAAATCATTGTCGACTGCAGTAGTAGATGTATCTGTGAGAGTGCTTCGAGTATCTGTGAGTATGCATCGCAGACTGGGAGACTGGCAGACTGGCAGACTGACAGTCTGGGTGTCTGTGCTAGTCGGTCGTCATAGGGCTTCTCCTCCAGAGGGAGATTTGCATTTCAACTTGATAGTTCCGGGGCTTGAACTTCTCTATCTCTCTCTCTGAAGTACAACCCTATAGATATATAGATCTATCTAATTTTTTGCTCTAAATTCCTGGTAAACCATTTTTATTGAAAGCTTTATGAGTTCTAAACCATCAATTGTCATTTTATCGCAGATTTTGCAGATTTGGAGCAATAAACTTTATGAATTGAGAAGCTTCGGGGGCTTCTTCTAGAGAACCGACAACCGTTAGGCATACTGGATGTTTAATTGACGTCGCCAGGGCCATTAATGCTAATTTTGGATGTTCGATGTTTGGGCAGAAGAGACCCAGAACAGCACCCCGAAGAAAACCAGAACAATAGACTCCAAAAGAATCAAAAAAAGAAGATAAAAGAGAAACCATAACAAAACGGTTCTACGCATACTTCTTCCAGATCTAGACTGGAGACTGGAGACTGGTGTGGGGACCTGAGATCGCAATTATTTATTTTCAACTGCCGTCTGACATCTTTCGGTTTCTATCCAACGATTCTCACTTTTTTTCGGCAATGTCAGCGAAAGAAAAAGAAATAAAATATAATAACATCTGATTGGGATTACTCGGTATCACTCGCGGTTCCCTCCTCTAAATATTTAAGCTTTATGTTCTCCGATTTCAGTTCTGGATTGGATTCTCTGGAATCTCATCCAACACCCGGCCATGGGAATGGAGAATTCACATATGTTGTCAACAAACCCATAAACAAGCACCTCAAAATCGCAATCCCATTACTTTTCCCATAACAACAAATTCAATTTAATAAATGAAGCTTTTTTTTTGTTGCTTTTGACTTTGGACTTGGGTTGCAAGGCCCAACTATACCTTGCCCCTCTGGTTTTTTTTGTTTTTGGCACCAGACCGTAACGTGACGCACGCGCCGCCTTTGGCAAAAAAAAAAAATGGAAAAAATAAAGGACTTTGTGGAATTTAATGCGCAGGCGCAGCCCCAAAAAGGGCAGCGACTTCTGATGCTACCATCCTCGCTCTGGATCTTCCGAGATCTTTTGTTAGAGCTCCCTTTTATTTATTATTATTATTTTTGTTTTTTTTGGGTAGGCGGACCATCCTCTCAAGATGAGGAAGCACACAAGAATAAAGGGGAAAGAGCAGCTGAACTCTCCAGGTGGAGCCAGACAGATGGGTTTCTAAATGCCCTTGAAAATGGTTTAAGATTCTCAAGAGGGGCTTGATAGGGAATATATATAAGAGAAGTTCATAGAGGATATAGGATATTGAAGAATATGCTCTTAAAATATCTAAAAAAAACTAATATCTAAAGAAATCTTAGAAGAAGAGTATAGTATCTTTTTAAAGACCTAATTCTTCTACCAGTTTCAAGTTCACTGTCTAGTTTGAGATGAAATGGGTTAAGATTCTTAGTATTATGATTGATAATATGAAAGAATTTGTCTTAAAGTAGTAGATTTTTAAGAATCCTGACTTATATTTGCAGAAATCTTAGTAATAGAAGATTGTAGTATCTCCATAAAGACCCCTATCTTCCCTATTTCTCAAAGAAATATAGAAGAATTACTCTTAAAATATCTATAAGACTTGGATTTGAGGGATCATAAGTAGTAGGACTATGCATTATTCCCTTAAAGACCCAATTCTTGAAGTTTGGGAAGAAATGTAGTAGGAGTCTATGGAAAAATTAGTTTCAAATAGGATCTATATCAAGATGTTATCAAATAGGATCTACAGATTCTCCCTCAAAGATCCTAGAAATATAGAAGAATGGCTTTTAAAATATCTAAGATCCTAAGATAGCCCATCATATATAGAAGAATTTCTTTTAAAATACCTCCAAGACTTGTATTTTAAAGCCCCTAAAGTAGTAGGAGCTTAAAGTATCCCCTTGCTCTGATTCTTCTGCAAGACCCGAGTTCAATGTCAAGTTTCTTCTGCTTCTTCTTGCTTTCTCAGTCTTCTTCTTGTTCTTCTTACGCCTCCGTTTCCGCCTGCGCTTTTTTGGCTTTGCATTTTCTTTTCTTTTTTTTTTTAAATCTCCCGAGGGAGTAGAATCGTTGTGGAATCGCTTCAGAAGTTGCTTGCCCTGTGAGCTCATCGCCCAAGTCACCGGCCACGCCCCAAAGTGACGGCATAGGCGCCAAGGCTCCCCCCAAAAAAAAAAACAGAAGTTGGAGTTGCTCTTCCCTGTCTCTCTCTCTCTCTCTCGTCCTGTTCTGTCGCCGCATGTTAAGTGGCCCACTCGAGAGATTTTTATCTCAAGGACGCACTTAAAATAAAAGTAAAGGGGCAGGGTGAGTAGTGAGTGGGTGGGTGGCAGGGTCATGGCCGTGAGTCACGCTTATGACAGTTCACGTGAGTCATTCCCCCAAAAAAAATTAAAGAATTTTTATAAAAAAAAAAAAGTATAGAATATCAAAAAATGCAGGAAGGGAATCAAGTCATGCGGAACGAAGAACCAAAGCAAAACAAAATAAGAGAGAAATATAAGGGGGGAAAGAGCCCATTAGGTACTCGAGTTATGCAATAATATTATCCTTCATCTCCCCAGCATCCTTAAGATTTGTTGGATTTTTTTGGCAATAAATTCTTTTTAGATTTTTGGGGCAAGGGGTGGGCTTAGTTGTGTTGGGTTGTAGTTCCAGAATTTAGAGACTAAAACTTTTATTTTAATTAGCATGTTTTAAACTAATTAAACACGCGAGATTATCTACGCTAAGCGCTATACTCTCCAACTTTTGGGGACCTACTAGGACGTCCCCCACCCCATCTCCCCAACCAGCTGTGTTGTTGTAGAATTGGCAAGCAAGCATGCTAGGAAGAGAGAGTGCCAAAGAGCGACGGGGAGAGCTGAGAGCTGCTGCTGTTGCTGCCGGCTGCTGCACACACACACACTCACTCGCATGGACATGGATACGCCGCACGCACCACGCACACGGGACTTTTATTGATTTTTCAACGCAACAGAAAGAGAGGCAAGATGATAAACAGGAGCTGCTGGCGATAACGGTGATAGCAGCCCAAAACCCAACAAGAGGAAGCACAATCAGAGCATATAAATAATTGCACAACAAAAACAACATTGCTATCAACTGCAAAAAATGCATCCCCATTAATATTGCACTCTCTCTCTCCGCCTCCCCTCTCTGACACTCTCTCTTTTTGGTAGTCTCCTGCTCTCTTCTTGGGTTGACTCCTTTTTTGGCTCCTTTTGTGGCTAAAACCGGGAGTTTCTAATTTTTTGGCACACGCCCAAAAAAAAGTGAATGTCCAACAAACAAAAAAACAAAAACACGAAAGACAAACACATAAGAACAAACAAAAACAACAAAAGGAGAAAAATATAAAACACCCACAATCTCAAGGGTGCAACTAACGTTATCCTGCAGGACTCACTTTTTTTTTTTTGGCTCTCCCTTTTGCTATCCACTTCTCTGGATAGTTACTTATGGTAGATGGTAGTAGATATTTATTATAATCACACAAACTAAATTAAACTATTATTTTTTTTGTTATTTTCACACATCCTTCTGGATTATCCTATTGCACTATTGGTTTGGAGGACGCGCAGTCTCTCGAAGAGGCCTCTATATTGGTTCACCACCCGGTATCCTTTTGATTTTGTTTAATATTGTTTATCCATTGTTTTGATCTATTAACACTTTTGCGAGGCAACCAAAACGACCGAATGGTATAAAAAAAACACCGAAAAAAAAACAGTCAATAGAGGTGGTAGATGCGCGGGAAGAGATTCTTTAATTTTCCGACCATAGACTCGCACTTTTCCGACCGATAGCAAGGGTTTTTTCGAAAAGTCCGCTATATCACTTGGAAACCCGGCAGCGTCTTCACTGGGCGAAGGCTATATTTCGAAAAAAAAATATTTGGTAGGGTAAGTCTTTTAAAACGACTGTGGTAGTTCTCTTGCTCTCTCTCCGCTCTCTTAGAGGTGGGAGAGAATCGATACTTCTTATGGAAGAATTTGATTTTCGATAAACATATCTAAATTAAATAATTATTAACTAAATACACAAAAGGCTTGACCTCTTATTATAAAATATTAAAAAATGTTTCTCAAATAATATTTATATTTAAAATCAGATAACTTTTTTTAACTTTTGGGCATCACTATTAAATGCCGCGGTATTCAAACTTGAGTCATTTTTTCTCTTGTTTAAGAAAAAAAGGGGAAAAAACTTCACTCTTGACTATCAATTTCATATTTTTTGGTTATTTTCTCATCCAGAACTGAAAATGATCAGTATTCACTTAATAATAATGTCATTTCTGGGGTACAACTTCCTAATGCATTCTTGACATGCAATTTGGTCATAAATAATCAATTGACTCGAGAATCCAAGAGGGATGGTGTATTATTTTCAAAAAGAGGACAAAGGGGCTGTTTTTTTTATTAAATGAAACAAGATAAAATAAAGATGTTCTTTATTATTCTGTTTTTAGCAATGTAATTCGTCCTTTTTAGGAAACTAATCAGTTGAAACCTTAGAGGTTAAGTTTTAAGGCTTTTATGACTCATTTATCTTATATTCACTATTAGGGGTTTGTTTTTAAGGAAAATTATTTAAAATTTATCCAAAATCTTTTAGAATTTTGGGGGTAATCGGTAAAGCTGGCAATAGTTTCTTCTTTCATACTTTTTAGCTTTTTTATTTGGTCTGGCAACGCTTCAAGGGCGGTAAGAACGGTAAATGACTTGAAAGTTTATTACTCACGTGTTGATTTCTTGTTTATTGTGATTTGTTTTTTGGTTTTTTGTGAAATGCTGGCTTTGAAGCTGCTGCTTTTGGCAGGACTGGTGGTCAGTGGCTTCTCCCAAGGTCCTTCTGCCGCCCATAAGGCGGAGATAGCCAAACTGCGCAGCGAACTCAATAAAGCTTTGGAGGAAAACGATGGAGCACCAGTGGGTTGTTGCCTTTATATTGGGTTTTCTATTAATTTATCATCTTTACCTTCCAGGAGGGTGTGGTGGTGGCTCCAGCTTGGACCCAGCACGATGGCGGACCTCCCCTTCCGAAGACATCCCAAGTGGAGGTTAACGATGCCTCCTTGAGGAGTGCTGCAGCCTTGCGCCATGAGATCCAGCAGGCAGTACAGCATCAAGGACAGACCCATGAGGTAGTTCAGCTTCAGGCAGAGCTCAAGGATAAAAGCCAGTCTCAGGCTACTTGGCAGGAGGTACTGGGGGCAGCTGCCAGTGATGAGGATGTCCAGCCAAACGTTGTGGAATCCAACTCCCAGTCGGGCATTGATCTGGAGCAATTGCAGCGCCTAGAGCTGTCAAAGAGGAGGACCAGGGACATGTTAGTACTGAGCAGGATCGAGGAGTTGTTCAACGTTTCCATGCCCTCCAATGTGGATCGCTGGCTGACTTTGCAGACGAACGGTAGTGGTTATATCATCGGTCAGCAGATGGGTTCCGGTTTTCTGGTCTTCACCAAGGACTTTCAGCTTCTCCAGAGCTATGTGTTTGCAGCAAACGTTACCTCCATGCTGGGTCTGGAGCGATGGAGCGCTAAAAAGCATATCCAGGAGGGAATCTTGGTCATAAGTTCCGAGAATCATCTCATCTGGCTGCTTCTGGAGCCTGGTAAGGGACTTGTACCCTTCTGGCAATGGCCTTTGGGAGGCGAAGTGACCAAAATCAGTTCTTTCAACCTGGACGGCAGGGACTATCTGGTCCTGGGGGGCAACCACATCCTCAGCATCTATGCCTACGACCTGGAGACGGAGGAATTCTGGATTGCGCAGCGTTTGCAGCTTGCTGATGATATCTCAGACCTGGCTGTCCTGGACGCGGGAAGGGAGCTCCTCCTGGCTGTGGGTCAGACCAATGAGACCCTGATCTACGCCTGGAAAGGATCGGCTGGGGAGCTGCGGCAGAGAGTGGAGTCTCCGCTGGTGACTGGAATCACAGCTTTTCAAATGGGCGGACGCAGTTATCTGGCACTCGGCGGCCAGAAGCCACGTATCCTGGTTTACCTGCAGGGTCAGCTATTCCCTCGCACCATTCTTGGCCAGAATTTTGGTTTTGTGGAGAAGTTTCTGCCGGTTCCCGTGCGCAGCTATCGGGACGATCTTCTCCTGCTTGTCCAGCACAGAGTTTTCTTCGAACCACACTCTCTTCTAGTACTGGAGGTGCTGGTTTGGAATGGAGAGGCCTTCGAGGCGGGCTTGCCACCTCCCTGCGGCGCTACTTACGGAGCCAACTGCTTGTTGGATCAGGTCCAGGACATAGGTATACAGGGAGCTGCTCTCCTCCGGCAACTGGATCAGCCGCCCTTGGTGCTGGTGCCCAGGAATCAGGCTTCCTCGAGCATCTTTCGCCTGGAAACCCAACTGCTGGCCAGGAACTCAGAGACCCAGGACCTCCAGGAGATCCACCAGTTCATGAAGGATTGGGTGGGTGAACAGGACAAGCTGCTCCTCCTAGCCGAGAGTCTCAATGTGGAAGATGAGTTGATTTACGAAGAAGTGGCCACAAATCTCGTCATCAGTGCAGGTGGTTCCATCGAGGAGCTCTTGGTAAACGAGATCGCGTGGACGGGAGCAGATGCTGTGGTGGATCTGAACGAGCTGATTGAACAGATACGCTTACTTGAGGAGGAGCTATCTCCTCTGCATCGGTCCAAGAGGCAGGTGCATTCCCTGAATGAGTATCATTACGAACGGTTGGAGGTGGATGCCATTGAAGCGGAGGATCTTGTGGTGGATCAACTGAACAACCTGCCCATGTTTATACAGAACTCCACCCTGAAGCTACCGCCAGAAGGGAGACTCAACGTCCAAAGGCTTGAGGTTCTGGAGGCTCCCAGGGAGGAGGAAGCTTCTCCTGCCCTTGGCAACGAGACTCATGAAACTTTAAAGCTCACTGGGGATCTGGAGTTCAGCTCTATCAATGGCCTGGAATGGAAGCAGTTGCTCCAGGACTTGGTTTGGAGGAACGAGCCTCTCAGACTGAATCAACTTATTGTGGAGGGTGTAGGTTTCTCCGCTTTCTGGCTTAATTTTAATGTTAATCTTAAAATGTTTTATTTTTTAGCCTGTCATCATTGAGGATACACTGCAAGTGACTAACCTGAATGACTTGAGCTTCCCAGGGGACTATTTGTGGTCGCAGGGCAATGAAACCAGCGTGGTCCAGGCCCCCAAGGAGTTCAGCCAAACCTTGTGTATGTTGTCTCTATATAACCCCTCAATCCTCACCAGAATCTATACCAATATTGTATTCCTCTTAGCCGCCAATGTCGTGGATACTTCGGGAAGTATCAATGGCAAGAATCCCTTGGATGCTATTACCCTCAGTGATGCCCAGGATTGGCCTGGTTGGGTTACCTTTTCTCAACTGGAAGTAGCTGAGCAGTTGGAGGTCAGACCCCAATACTTACTCCTTTTCATTTTGATACTACTTTTATCCCACAGCTCAACGGCACCGCCCAGGGTCGCCAGTTTGAGGAGGCTCCTCTGAATCCTACGCTTCTGGAATCCCATAACCTCCACGCCGACTGCCACTTTGATCAGCTCTTGGTGGAAGGATCACTGCGTTTGCTTGGCAAACTGGAAGACGATACCTTTGACTCTTTGCTGGGGGATCTGGTCCAGCGTTCGTCGGATCCCCACGAGGAAATCCAAGTGGACGGTGTCAAGCGCGTGGATCAGCTAGTTCTGCCTGTGGACTCGCATGTCCTGGATAACCAGCTCAGTGGCCTGCCTCTGGAACGCTTCGTGACCAAGCACTCGGCCCAGATCTTGCCGAATCTCACCCAGATCTATGGCTATGTCTACTTTCATCAGCTGGAACTGGCCAAAGGTTCTACCTATGACGGAGTTGACCTGGAAAAGCTTCTGGCGGAGAGTATCCGTCTGGATGGTAGTTCTCCACTTCCCAGCAGTCCTCTGACTCGACTCCGCTTCGAATCCCCACCAGAACTGTCGGAGCTCCACGTGAGTCACACCCTTAACCAGGTGCCCTTGGCCAGTGGCTATCAACTGCTCCACGAATCCCTCCACCTGATGACGGGAAACTTTACTCACCTGGCGGCGGAGCAGGCTCAGGTCAATAAGGACGTTACTGGCCGAGGACTCTTGAATGGCAAAAATCTAGAGAATCTCTTGAAGGAGGAGCCGCACACCTGGTCGGGTGACGTCCATGTCCAGGAGCTTCTACTCCCACGGGGTGTGCAAGCCAAGGAGCTGCAGGGCATCAAGGCCGATCTCCTACTGGATTTCCTTCAGCAACTGGACGACCTGCCGCTGCTAATCCTGCAAGGAAAGCTCCAAGTGGACCAAATGGCAGTCACTGGGGGATCCGTGATGGTGGAGCAGACACTCAACGGCCGGGACTGGGCGGAGCTACAGCGTCAGGTGGTGTGGCTGGACAGGCCGAATGAGCTACGCACTCGCTGGACCCTCCAGGAGGCTCCGGATCTGCAAGGAAATCTTCACATTTTGGGAAGCTTCAACGATCGATTGCTGCCAGAGCTTTTAGATGACATAGTCTTCCGGCCCCAGAACGACCAGGAGGAAGTCCTCATCGAGGGAACCAAAAGTTTCCGAGCCCCCATCCAAGCGGATAGCCTCCAGCTGGCGGCGTTAAATGGCGTTCCTTTCGAGAAACTGGCCACCAGGGAACAGAAGCCCCTGATCCTCACGGGAAATGTCCAGCTACAGGGACGTCTCTTTGTGGAGGATCTGCGGCTTCAGGGAGATCAGAACGAGTCCTTCGCCGAGTTGGAGAGACTTCTTCGGTGGGATCCCACTCGGCAGAACTTTATCCAAAGAGGAGTCGTTCCTATGCCCGGAAATCTCAGCCTGGATGGGCTAACGGTGATGGGTCACCTGGGAAACCTCAGTCGGGAACCATTGGAGGAGCTCTTTGGGCAGCTAATCTTCAAGCAGCAGCCCAGGATTCAGCTCCAGGGTCACAAAACATTCACGGGACGCGTTCGCATCGACGATGGAGCCTTTGTGGGGAAACTAAATGGCCTGGATGTGGAGCAGCTGCTGTCCCAGCTCATCCTTGTGAATGCGGAGCAAGAGGAGGTGACGGTGGAGACGCCCCTGGTATTCGAAGCTCCAGTAAAGATGGATTTCCTGGCAGTGGAACGACTAGTTCTCCAGGGGCAGCTCCTAAATGGTTGCAATGTGACTGAGTGGTTGCTGGATACTCTGCGGGTGGATCGTGACTGGCAGGGATCGGGAGGTAAGTCCTGGTATATGACCAAATCCCAACCTAACCCTAATTCTTCTTTCTAGTTACCTTCTCTCAAGGATCTTTGGATGGCAATCACTTGGAAGTGGAGCAATTAAATGACCTGGACCTTTCCCAAGTGGTGACTCTTCACACAGAACAAGAACTCACCGGGCCCCTTATTGCCGATGAGGTGCTCCTTAAAGATGGACTACTGAGTGTCCAGGGAACCGTCAATGGACGCAATCTCTCCGAGGATTACGACAATACTCTGATGGTAAGATTAGTCCTCCGCCTTCTCCTCCAGGATTTCATTTTAAAACCCTTCTTTCATCAACAGACCTATCCCCTGAAGCCTCAACAAGTGGACACGCCACTCTTTCTGTCCGGAATAAATGTGAGTGGATCTCTGGAGACCACAGCACCCATCAAGGGAATCAACCTGAGCGATGTGGCCACCTTGGGCGGCCAAGAGCCACTCCTTCTTCAATCACCTCTCTACTTTGCCCAGCTCCACGCCCCCTTCTTGAAGGCAGGACATCCTTTGAACGGCTTCAGGTTCGAGGACTGGTACCAGAAGAGTCTCTGGGCGAGGGGCAGGAATCAGCAGGAGATTACGGGCAGTTGGAGGGTCAACAAGCTCCGCGTGAAACAGCCAGAGATGGACAACCAGCGATTGCGTCGCCAAACCGTCGAGGAGGGCTATTGGAACCTCTGTCAGCAGCTGGCCAGGATTCTACAGTTGCCCTACCAAGTCCAAAAGCTCAAAAAGGCATTTACTTTGAAGCAGCTTAAGGATCAAGGGGGAGTGCGTCGAGTTTTCGCCGTGGAGGCGGATGAGAGCTCCCACTATCTTTTGGTGAACGAACTGGGTTGCTGGACAAGGATTTATCGATGGAACGGCAGCGGATTCCAGGCAGCTGGAGGCTTTGAAGGTGGTCCCATCGACGAAGTGGTGGCTCTGCGAGTAGGCAACCAGAGTTCCAGCAAGGAGTTCACCTTCATGACCAGCCACGAGATGGCCGACGACGAGGAAGAGGCCAGCTGGAATTGCTCAAACTTCCACTCCACCCTGGTGAGTTGGCGGAGGAGCGAGAGCCAGGACACCACAGAGCAGATGGACATTCCCATGACCACTCTGAGGAATCTGAAGGATGAGCAAGAGAAGCTCCGGAAGAGTCCTTCTCTGGGAAATCCCCACTACCAGCAAGCCCTTCGATATCTTCAGCGTCCTGTCATTGAATCCCAACTGGGCGAAGGATGGCAGCTGAGCCGGGAAAAGGATCTGGATCCTGAGGAGATTTTACGGATTAGGAACCGCCTTCTGGACACTTTGCAGCGGCAGCTCCAGGCGGAGGTCAACATCATCCAGCTGAGCATCCCAGAGAGCGATCTGTATGACGAGCACCTAATGGAGGACTTCCTGGAGCTGATCTCGCAGCTGGGACACCTCCACATGGAGACCCTACCCTTGCCAGATACCCCTTCGAAGGTTTTGGCTGCCCGGAGTGCCCAGCTCATCTTCCCGGTGTGGCAGGAATTCCGGGGCATGTCCGAAAACGGAGCTGCTCTGCAAGATCAGGAGGCACTTGTCCTGGAGCAAACAATGGTGGATGTCCTGACATTGGCCAATCATAGTGGTGACTCTCCCGAGGACGAAAAGCTGCATGCGGTGATTGAGAGACTCAGGAAGTTGCAGGACGATCTTCCACTTGATGCCCCAGATCTGGAGGAGTCCCCTTCGCAGCAGGAAGAGCTCTTCCTGCCCCTCAACTGGAGGCCTGTGCAGACCCTGCGCCTCACCGTGGGTTCCGACTACCGACCCAAAGTTCTGTATGCCAGGTTGACCCACCTGGCCGACCCGGAAGGTCCTCCGCCCACTACTCCATCCTCGGCGCCGGCAGCCCACATCCAGATCCATCATGTGAATGGATCTCTTTTCCAGACCCTCGCTGCCGAGAGAGGAGCCCGTCACCTGGCCACCTTGCGGGTGCGGGACGAGACTCTGTTGGCCTTTGTCGAGGGATGTTGTCGGATCCGGGTCTTGATCTATCGGGGAGTCCAGGGATTCGTGCCATTTGCGGTCTTCCGGGCCCCCAGACAGGGCTCTGGCCAGGAGGATGAGATACTCCAGCTACTGACACTGCGGTTGCCTCTAAAGAGGGCTCCAGGAGCATTGTATAGCCTGGCGGTGGTCCAATCTCATAGAACTACGTTTTATGAACTGGTTGTGGCGGGGCTTCTAGAACCTTGGATGAAGTGCTAGGATTGGACTTCTTTCCTTAATTTTTGTTGTTAATTTTTTGTTAATTATAATTATTATCTCTGTTAATTGTTAATTCATTAATTAATTGTTTAAAATTTAAAAGAAAGACCTTCATTAACTAAATCAATATATTTTATTTCAGAGTTTCTAGTTACACGACCTCGCTTCTGGGTTGAATGACTCTTACAGCCTAGGCCCGACTTATGACTATATATTTGAAATCCCCGGACATGGATCCCGCACTCTCCAAACACTAAGCCCAAAAAAAATGATACGGGAACTCGGAGACAGTGACTAAAATAAATACACACACACATTACGATACAGGATAGGACGTGGAGAGGAAAGAAGTCTAGAGAATCTAGAGAACATATGTACAGCTATTGCCCTTCGGGAGTTGGCTCTCCGCCTAGGAGGAGGGTATCTTTACGGGCAGGAAGAGACGCGGATCCCCGATCTTCGGGCTGAGGCGGACCACCACCTGGTCGTCGCCGTCGCCCACCTCCAGGAACGAGTTCCAGTCGGCCAGGAAGTAGAAGCCGTTCTTCTTCTTAGGCGGCGGCGGCTCTTCGCTGACAGGATCCGGCCCGAAGGAGTCGGCCAGGTCGTCGATAGATCCATTGCGTGGCTCCTCTGTGGTGGTGGTGGTCGTGCCACTGGTGCTGCTCTCCGTCTCCTCTGGGGAGGATTTAATGTCGCCGTCGTCCAGGCCCAGACTCAAGCTGATCTTGGTGGGGGCTTGGGTGGTTTGGACTTCCGTATCCGCTGGAGATTCTGTTCCAGCTCCTGCTTCCGTCTCCGTTTCGTTCTTCTCGCTCTGCCTGCGGGACTTGAGGGTCTCGTCTTGGCCATTTTCTAGGGATTGGAGATACACCGCATCCGGACTGGGCGTGGGAGTGGCCACCTGAACCTTATCCAGGCTCACGTTGAGCTGCTGCAGCTCCTGGAGGTTGCTGATCAAGCGCTGCAGCTCGCTCAGATTGCCGTCACTGGAGTGGGAGTCCTCCCGCTTCTCCTTCGGCGTCTCCGGCTTGGCCAGCTGATAGTTCAGCTCGCTGAATTCCGCCATCAGGTCGCCATCGAGTTCGCCCTCCCGATCCTCCGCCTCCAGGTCTTCCTCGGCCAGGGCATCGTCGCTTCGCCGCCGGAAGCCCATTCCCAGCCCCATCGTTATGGGCGCCAGTTCGGTGCTGACTCCGATCCGGTTGGCCGCCCGCTTGATGGCCGCCTCTATGATCTTGGTGGCGCTGAACACCGGCAGCTCCAGGCTGCTCTCCGTGCTGGGCCGGGGCTCAGCGATGGGCCTGATCCTTGGCCGAATGGTGGTCAGCGAGAAGACCGCCGGCGAGGAGGTGTCGTGCGTCGGTGCCGGAGTAGTGCTTGTGGTGGACGAAGATGTGGACGTTGAGGAGGAGGTGGCCTGCAGCTGGCTCTCCAGTTGCTGGGAGAGCTCGTGAGGCAAAGCTACGCCCAGCTTCTGCAGCTGCTGGGTGTTGTAGAGCAGTTTCTGGAGCTCCTCCAAATCCGCCTTTCGGGGACCGCCCGAGTTCAGAGGCGTGACCTTCTTGGAGGGCACGAAGCGAGGCGCCGGCGGAGAGGTACTGGGAACCGTCTTGTAGATGGGCTGCATGTGCTGGTAGCTCTGGCGCTCGCCCACATCCTCTAGGCCACTGAAGAACTGCTGCAGTTGGCCAAAGTCTGCCGAGGATTGACCCTTCTGCTGGGTCGGATGAGCTGGCTGCGACATGGCCAGTTCCCGGAGCTCCTCGCTGGAAGTCTGTGAAACTGCGGGAGTGGGTGTGGGGGTCAGAGGCTTCTTGTAGACCGGCAAGTCCAGTTTAAGCTCCGGTTCGGGCTCGTGCTCCACCAGTTCCTGCTCCTTGACCGGCTGGGCGTAGACGATGTGAGCACCCTGGATGCTCTTCACATTGGGGGTTCTCACGGAAGCCGCAGTGACCAGTTGCTGGTGGGGATCGGCCGTCTTCAACTGCACCCGCTCCAGTTCCTGCACTTTGCTGAGAAGCTTTTGCAGCTGGACGTAGTCCTGGGGATGCACATCGTCCTGGAGCAACAGACCGTTGCTCCGCTCGAAGTTGTCTAGCGGACGCTGCCTCTGTTTGGAGGTGGAGGCTGCTGTGGAGATCTCAACGCCTCCGGAGCCGCTCGGCAGCGAGGAGGCGGTGGGCGAGAGCTCCTGGAGATGGGCAAAATCGTTGCTCGGCAGACTCACTCCCGAGGACGGCCTCGTGCCGGCTATGTTCCTCGTAAGGAAGTTGGGCGGCGTGGTGGGCTGCTGGAGTTGCTCCAGTTGCTGCACCCTGGTAATCAGAGCCTCAAACTGGGCATGATCCACGGAGGCAGTGGGTCGTGGAGTGGTCGTTGTGGTGGTGGTTGTACTGGTGGTGGTGCTTGTGGTGGTGCTCTTGGGCTGCTGCTTCTTCTTGGCGCCGTTCCTGGCCTGCTCGTAGAGCTTCTCCAGTTCCCGGTCGTCGCTGAGAAGGCGCTGCAGCTGGAGAAGATCGGCGGCTCCCAGGCCCAGGCCTCCGTTCTTCGCGGGTCTCGACGTGGTGCTGGTGGTGGTGCTAGTAGTGGTGCTTCTTTGCTTCTGCTCCAACTGCTGCAGCTGCTTGAGGATTCTCTGGAGTTCCAGGGCCTCCCTCTGGGCGGGGGAGGGTGTGGTGCTCGTTGTGGTCGTAGATGTCGTGGTACTCGTGCTGCTGAACCTGCTGCTTAAAGCTTGGAGTCCTGGACTGGGACTGGCCGCCTTGAGGACGTTCTCCGGATTTATCTGCAGCTTCTCCAGCTCCTGGAGATTCTGCAACAGCTTGGATAGCTCGTTTGTGCTGGTGGCCTGCTGGTTCCCTCCATTCGCAAAGTTCAGATCTATGTTGGGATCGATTCTCCGCCGTGGCTTCTTGGCCTCTATCAGCATGGGTTCCCCGTGGGTTATTAGCTGGACGGGAGCAGGAGTTGTCGTGGTAGTAGTGGTGGTGGTGGTGGTACTTGTGGTGGTGGGACGAGGAGTGGTAGTGGTGGTAGTCTTCGGACTTGCTGGCTTCCTCTTTGCCTGCTGGGCCTGCAATCGCTCCAGTTCCTGGAGGTTCTCCAGGAGTTTGGCCAGCTCTGCATTGCCCTGAAGCGGCAGCTTCGCCGTGGCCGTGGACAGCTCCGTGTGGGCGCCAGTGGGCTCCTCCGTGGGCTTGGCCTCCTTCTTGAGGGCCTTGGGCTTCTTCACGATCCCGAACCGGGTCAGGTAGCCCTCCACCTCCGGCTTGACTCTCAGCTCCTCGCCGATATTCAGGGGCTTGAAGTTGGAGTAGGCCTCCGGGCGGATGCGGGCTCCCTGGAGGCCACGCAGATCGGCCACTGCCACCACCGAGGGCTGCGGAGCACTCTCCGCCGGATAGTAGTCGTCCAGGGCGTACCTCTTATGGGCCCCTTCCGAACCTCCCGAGACAATTCCCAGACTTTCCAGAATATCCGCCACAGGCTTCACCGTACTGGAGGCACTGGTAGCCTGTACCGGCTTGGGTTTCCTCAGAAACTGGGCATTCTTGGCACTGTAGTGGGAACTGAAGCGTCCACCTCCTGCTGACGGAGCTGCGAGAGGAGCCGGGGAGGATGAGGATGGAGACTTGGCAGTCAATGGCCTAAAATCCTGATACACAACCGGAGGCGGGGCAGGGGGATGATAAGTGGTGGCCACGGGCATGGGCCTGAACTGCTGCTGTTGCTGGAGAAGGTTTCCCTGGCCGTAGGGCAGTCCATACGGTGGCTTGTAAGTGGTGGCAGCCACGGCGGGATTACCGCCGGGAACCGTGCTCCTCGGCACGGCGCTGGGATCGGGTGTTAGAAACTTGACCGGATCCGGAGGGGTATAGGCATCTATGACCCGGGTAACCGGTGGACGTGTGTACAGCTCCTGTAGGTTCTCCTCCGTGTTGTTGTCCGTGTTAAAGGGAAGCACCAACATCAAGGCCCTCATGCTGTCCGCCCGGCTCATGTCCCCGGCTTCCAGACTCTTCTCATACTCCTCGCGGGTCACCTTCTCATAGAGCTCCTCGATCTCGCCACTGGAAGGGATATGTCTTAAGAAAAGGACTTCCTAAGGATCTCCTAGCCACTCACCGTGTCAATCTGGGCAGCGCAGGATCGTTGGCCAATATCTTTTGTACTTCATCGATAGTCTGCTCGATTTCCGGTGGCTGGAAAAAGCTTTTGTCCAGCTGCTGCCTGGCATTACCGCCCTGGATGGTGGGCAGTGCCCGCGCCACGCCCCCCGCCAGCTGGAGGAGGGCGATCAGCGCCAGGCACTCACGGAGCATCCTGCTCGTCCAGGTGGTTAGAACTAAGCAGTAAAAAATAGAGGTTTTGTTTTAAATTGATTTGTTTTTATATATTTAGGAGCTAAAAATATTGAACATAAATATTAAGATTAGAAGGTACATTTGTTAAATTATTTAATATTTATACTATATTTTTATTTAGCCTAAAATAATATGTTTTAAAATAAGTTCTTAAACAGAAACATCTAAACTACTTTGAGACATTTCTAAACTGCAAGAAATTCTTTCAAAAATTCCGAATCCGTGTGAAACCTATCACTATCATTTTTAAAACCACCACTCTCTTTTTAATTTAAAATATTTTCCACTAATACTAATTATCATCTAAATTTTTTAAACTAACTAACCAAATGACCCACCGACCCAATCGAAAACCTGACAACCACTTCCACTTCGGTAGCCTCATCAACGTCCATCAAGTTTGCTAATAATCGGGTGACTTTTATAGGTGCTTTTTAAGTCTATTTTTTTTTTGCTCTTAGCTTTAAGTTTTTTTCCTATTTTTTAGCTATTTTTTACACAATTACAGATGGCGAGTCAGCGGAGTGAGAGACAAACAAAAAAATTTCCGCCCAGGAAAAGGCGAACCAGCCGACTGAGAAAGAAATCAAATGAAATGCATGACAAATTTTTGACAGACAGCGACAAATATGTGTGACAAGTGTTTGTTAAAAAAAAAAAACCATAAAGATATAAACACATTAATAACATAGAAAATACATCTTAGACCCAATGATGTAAGAGCAAAAAGAAAATCCTAGCAGGATACAGTCTGAGGATAATGATGATGCAACCGGTTTGGAAAATGGAAAATTTTTGGATTTTATAGCCGGCGGCTGGGATCTCGTACAATTTATCACAGAGTCCGAGTATAAAGTGAAGTGGCGGACCTATCGAAGCATTTAATTTTCACTTAATTGCCGTAGTTAAATCATAAATTTAATGAGTGCCGTAGAAAGCGATGGCGACGATGTGATGCCAAAATGCCCAAGTCGATGACGATGACGATGTTGGCCGGCCATCCAGCAGCGAAGCCGTTAGCGAAAATGAACTGTTAGATAATCTGGTCAAAAAAAAAAACAACATCTAACTGAGCCACTTATAGCCAAAGCTATTCATTCCACTTTAGTCAAAGTGAACTGTACTGAATGTGAACCAAGTCTACGTGACAGGCATTCTAACAACAAACTGCAGTCTATCTCTATGTAGACTTCAGGGAATCGGCATCTTGTATCTCAAAGTAACACTGGAATGCTGTCGGTTGAGATATCTCTTGGATTTTTGTAGTATTTGTTCAAGTATCATGCCACTCTGCTGGCCAACATTAATAGTGCCAAATGGCACTCGCAGATGGTTAGACATTAATTTCTAGTGTGCGATCATTAACAAGTCTCACGAAGTCTCACTTATAGTAGTTCACATTTTTTTGTATTGAATATATTTCCACCATTCACTAGACGAGCTTAAGCGGGATTTGTGGTTTAAATTAATTGTATTTATTAATGTAAAGGTAGTTTTTAATAAAAAGGTTAATTTTTGTGGGGTTTTTTATCTTTAAAGAAGTTATAACTTGAACTAATGTACCTAAACAAGAGGTTATTGTTCAGGAACTTCTTTTATAACTTCTCTCCAAATTTTATTTAGGCTACAAAAAAATATTTAAAAAAATATACTCTGGAAAAGAACCCTATTAAAACTTTTAAGAACTTAGCCCAAGAAAAGGCAACTCTTAAAAGCTCTATAGATTGTATATATTTGGAAAATTCTAAACCTTTTTTGAAAAGAGTTTCTTTTTGGGTTATGTATCGCATTTTTCATCAATCGTTTTTAAAAAACCAGCTTTAAAATTCTTTATACCAATACAGAAATTCTAGAAAAGATTAAGAGAGATATTTGATTTAGTTTTGAAAAGTTTAAGACATTTTTAAATAATCTTAAAGAATGTAAACCCCTTTTCCCTAATTTATTTCAACAAATCTCATAATCTGCCTTTTAAATTCCCTTCAATAACATATTTTATATTATAATTTAACCCCCCTCATTCGAAAACCTTAACCCAAAATTAACAGAGCTACTCTTCCTTAAACAAAAATATTGTCATACGCAATTTTGTATTTTTGCATACCACACACCAAAAATGGTTTGGAAAATGCATTTAAATTTCATAATACACTTTGGTTTTGTGTGCGTGACTCCTTGTTTAAGTATTTTATTATTACTATTTTTTTATTATGCATATAAGTGTGTATGTGTATGACTATTGGCCGTGTAATCAAAACGCAAATAATTTGTTGCCATTGCGGCACGAAATGTGAGTCAATCTTGGGTGAGTGCATTTCGAATCCAAAGCAAAAAATAAAGACAGTAAACCCCAGATGCCGACGACGACGACGTCACTGAAGCGCATTAAAAAAAAAACTAAAGCAATGTGTGGTAACAATTAAGTTTGTTAGTATTTTTTGTGTTTTTTTTGGTGTGTTAAGTAATTCCAGGCGTCTATTAACTATTATTAACCGCTTCATAACCCAGTGTTTTGGATTGAATGCCTGTGACATCTACACATACGACTAATTGGGGGGCCTATTGCTCTGCTTTTCCGTTTTTTTTTCTCCCAGTTTTTCCATTTTTCTCAGTTTTTCCATTTTCATTACAATTTCAATTTTCTTGGCTTTTCATTTATCCGATCCGAGTTATTAAGACGGAAAGCGGATGAAGAAAAAGCCTTGATCTCGTCTCTAGGAAATGTTGAATAATCGCTGGTAATTGCTAGAAATTAATCAATTTTTATTACACTAACATTTCAAAAAAAAAAGAAATACATTTTAGCCCTTGACTTGAATGAGTTTAGCCATGAACTCTTATGGCTGTCACCACTGCCCTTTTGGCCAGCAATTTACAGTAACAAGCGCAAAAAAAGAGAAGCCACCATGGAGTTGGTAAGAAAACAAAAGACAATTGTCTTGGCTTTAAGCGGCCACTTCATTAGGTTTGTTATTTTTTTTTTTCTAGTTTGGCCCAATCAAGAGCAAATGCGCACTTGGCCTCACAACCCGGTAAGGTCAGACTGATTAACTGGCCATTAATCTGGCCAGCTCCACCCAACTTGGCCAGAAAAACTTACCAACTATGGTGTGGAGGTTTTTCGAAGGGACTTTTAAATCGTAATTGTGTCAAATGTAATGAGTTTAAACTTTAAAGGTCATGAAAGGTTTTGAAAATATATTCTGGGAAAAATTTAATTAAAAGCTTTAAAACTAGTACTTCTTTCAGAATTAGGTCACTTAATCATCTCTTATTTTGTTTATTTATTTTATCATTTAATCGTATATGTCTTCTTTTTTCTGGAGAACCGGCTCTGAAGGTCACCTGTCCGGCTGAGGCATCTTTCACGCCATTTCCGGCCATTTCTGGGCAACGAGAAAGCGCCCCAGGCACTGCTCTCACTCCGATTAGTCAGACGACAGCATTAAAGAGCTTCATCATCTTTTAAAAAATATCCATCAGTAGTTGCCACTTTTACTTGAGAAAAAAAAAATTATAAAAATAAAACAAGACACCCCGGGCTACTGACTGGGCTTTTTTTCAGGCGCGAGCGCCTGTTTCGTCAGGCCAGTTGAACGGGCTTTTTGGCCAACTTCAGTGTGCAGTTAGTGGCTTGCAGTTTGCAGTTTACAGCTTTTGGATTCTATTTAAGCCAAACTGTATATGACAAGTGAATGTTGTTTTGGGCGGCCAGGAAAAGCCAGCCAGCTCGCCAGCCAGCCATCCAGTCATCCAGTCAGTTAGCTACCAACTACTAGCCCCAGAAACTGAACCAACTAACTTGGCCAACTGGCTTTTCGGTTTTGAATTGAATTTCTGATTCGGGTTTTTGAGTTTACATTTGAGTTTTGGTCGCTGTCTCGGGCTTATTTTGGATTTGTTTGACTTGTTTATTGGCACTTTTACCCAGTCGATTGATTTCTTGCCTTGGCAGATGCTTAATTATTGTTTTTTTATTATCATGTGTATGGCCCAGACACCCCGCTAGCCCCTGCCAGACCCTCTTCTGGCCTACTCTTCAATTTGGTGGTCCCTTGCATTGTGTTTCCCTTTTTTATGGACACTTTCACCACCAAAATGTATGAAATAACATAAACAGACAAAAAACAATAATAATAATAATAAATATTAAGACACTTTACAGCCTGGCTTGTGCTTAATTATTAAATTGTTTTTTTGTTTGTGTTTTTTTTTTAGGAGAGTCGTATCTTGGCGACTGTCGTTTTTCTCAAGATTATTGTTATTATTTCAATGGAAGAAGTATGTTTTTAACTTTCAAGTTTTTATTATCGCGTTAAAGACGTTTTTAGTAAAAATTACAAAAAGAACTATTAAATAAATTGCTTTTAAATGAGCCAAACTTTAAAATCTTCTTTATTTTAAAGAAAAAGTTGAAGTATTCATGATTCCTCAAAAAAAAGACCTCAACACCTGTATTTGCACCTGCACCTGATTTTCATTTTCATTGCCCTTGTGTCAAGGTCGTTGCAATGTTCGGTGCAGCATACAATTCGATTCAATTCACGATTCACGATTTACGATTTAACGAATTTCGAGTTCGTTGCCTAAGTCTTTTGTTTGCCGCCTCCCTCGCAGCGAAAGAAAAATAAAAAACCTGTCACCCCAGTCCGGCTTAAATTTATTTATTTTTTTTTTCTTATATTGTGGCTAACAGTTTCCAATTACATTTTCAATTTTCGGCAGCTCCACACCAAAGGCACACACACACAGTCACAGCACACTCCAAAAATAAATCGATTTTATTTTTGTGTTCACAACTTTCAAAAAAGCACAGAAAATAATGAAATAAAAAATTAACTTTTGTGTTAAAAACCGAAATTAAATTCAACACGCGACTATAGGATATTGATTTCTTAGGCGCGTCTTTAAAATCGGATGTAGATTCAAAAACAGTTTCAGACTCAGAGACAGTTCGTTTTCGAGTTTCGTTGGCGGTTTTAAATGTTTTTGGCGCATGCGCGGCCTGCAGACCATTTTCAATGAGCGATCGCAGCGTACTAAACCAAAAGCCGAGTCTTCGCTGCCAAGCTGCTGCCGGTGTTGTTGCCACTATTTTTTTTTTTCCGGCGAACAGAGCAGAGAGCCAAAGCGGTAAATGGTCCGGACTCCGGCGTTCGATGTCTCTGCCTCCAGAGGCTAGAAGTTAGAGCAAGAAAATACTCGATCTTCGGTGCAACATTGCTGCCTTGATTAAACTCATTTCATGGCAATTGCATAAATTTGTTAGACTATTACCATAAATAAAACTAAATTAAATCGTGTGGAGCCTATTAAATGCATGTTATAGTTGCATTTTTTACGAGCCTTTACGAATTGTAATCTTTGTCTTAGCCTAGATTCATAGTTTTAGTGCCTTGTCTAATTTTTAAAGCTATTTGAAATATTATGAGAAATGTTTATAGATTTTACATTATTTGTTATGGTTTTAAAAAAGTATTGAGTATTTTTTGAAAGGCTTTGAGGTTGGCAAATTTTTAATTTTTATGGATAGTAACAGGGAAATGTCTAGACACGTTTATATTTTCTACAATATATATAATATTTTTGTAAAGGCTTAAAAATCCTACTTCCCATTTTTTTTTATAAAATGTAACCTTTAATTTTATTATAAATATATCTAAAAATCCTTAAAACATTATAAAATATAAACTCTTAAATAAACACAAACTGGTTTCCCAGACATCGCCAATCAATCAACTTGATTTTTGCATACCTGCCAGATTTTTTATGTCTTGAAGAGATTCCACATTAACCGATTAGATGCGTGACCTGTCGCCAAGCCAAAAAAATAACAAAATAATCAAAAAAAGCAACAAAAAGTTCAAAAACCAATAACAAAGTCAAACGACAATACCAGAAAACCAGAGCTCGATATCACTACAAAGTGTGTGGATTGCCTTGACCAAGTACACTGTGCGAACTCAGGGGCGGATAGCCAAGCTTAGAGGGGGGGATGGATGGTGGTGATAGCCAGGGGAGAGGTTGGGACGGAAGGTGAACAGCATTCTGCCGCATTCAGCTGACAAATGCAGACTGGTTTCGGCCACAAGCATTTCACTTTGGCCATCGCCACTAACCACTTGCCGCTTCTTCACCTTTTTTTTTTCTCTTTTTTATTTATATTTTTTTTTTATTGAGTTTATTTTTTTTTCTTTTCCCCAACCAATTGACAAATTCGATTGGTTTTCTCTCGCTTTCTGCTCCGCCTTGGAAACGCACTTTTCAACAGATTCGATTCGATTCGATTTGGTTTTGTATTACAATGCGGCCCATTGTGGTCGTCTGTGTGCTCCGGTTGCATAATAAATAATAGTAAAGAAAATAACAAATAAAAGGCCACGCACTGGGAGAGCGATGGGCCCGAATGCATCCACTCACTCGATTGACTTCTATTAGTGCAACTTCAGCTTTACCGTCGATCTGTGGCCTCAGGCGAGGGGAGTATTGCCTGGGTAATGGTGGGTCCAGACCCTCGGAGGTTTATCTGAAAAATCAGACAAAGTACTGGCTATAAACCTAGGCTATTAATCAACTGATTGAATTTAGTTTGGAGGTTTTCCCAAAACTAGGAAGTAATTGAAGATTTTATTAAAAATACTATAAGTATTAAGGTTGAAAGACTTAAGGTTTAAAACTATAAAAAAGAATTAAGGATAGTTGATTAACAGTCTATTATTCATAAATATAAAGCCTTTCTAAAAGTACAAACTTTGAGACCTTTTTTGTTAAGCTTAGCTATATATTTTGAAGAAAAAATAGATAAAGATCCCAGGTACCTAAGTTGCCCTCAAAAAGAAGCGACAGATTTGACTTCATTATGCGCTTGGCACGTTTTGCTCGAAATAATTAAACCGATTTTTGGTTATTTGTAACATTTGTCATTTGCACATAAACAAACAGAAACCAGAGAGGGGTTGGGGCTAAAACCACAACCTTTTTCTTTTATTTTTGGTTGTTTTTTTTTTCTTGTTGTGTATTTTTGTGTGTGACAACATTTGACACAATTTAACGCTGACGCGACAAAATCGTCTGCTCGGTTCAGCTTGGTTCGCCCAAAGGGGGGGTTACTGTACGGTAAGTAAGGTTTTTCCAAGTGCTTTACTGTTTGAGCTTGCGCCTTGACTGTCTATGCAAAAGTCAGCAATCACACTCACACACATTTGTATATTTTGGCCAAATTGCAACACGGAAAACCAAACAACAAAGCCAAGTCAGGGCAGGCCAAACTAAATAAAACGAAAACTGAAACACTGAATAACTGAAAAATGACAAAACCCATAAACTCTTGACATGACACGGCCAAAAAATATTGGGCGGCATAGTAGAGGGGTGCTGCGGTTCAAGCCATGGAATGGAACTTTGGAGCATCGCACCCAAAAAATAAAAAATTATGAATTGCTTTTATGCCGCCAACATGTTTTATGTTTGTGCAAAAATTAACTCGGCCAAGGGTCTAAATGTCGCTGACAAAAAATACTTTTATAAATTAACGTTTTAAAGTTTTTAAGCTCTTCTTAAATTAATTTACAAAAAATGTATTATCTCGTCTTTGATTAATTTTTAAAGAGTCTCTCTTTCTCTCTCTCTCAAAAAAAAAAGCCGGCTAGTTGTTAAGGCGTTGGCAGTGGCACTTGTCTGGTGAGCCGCAAGCACCACCCCCTCACCCCCGCCCCCGTCGGCGGATGCCCGCCCCAAATGCTTTTACTTTATTCGGCCATTCACTTTCTCCGTGTGCTGTTTGCTTTGCTAATTTCGGATTTGCCTTCATCACAAAAAAGCAAAAAAAAAATACAGGAGAGAAAAGTGAAACAGAAAACGGACAGAAAACAAAACGGAGGCAAAACTGTTGTTACTTTTTTTTTTCTTTATTTATTATTTTTTTATTGGCCAGGTTGTTGTTGTTGTTGGGGCAGTGTTAAAAATTCGTATGCAAAAATTCCAAGAAAATTATTCAATCGCGTGGCCAAGATTATTCAATTCCAATTCCAAATGCATGTCTGCTCGTATATATATATGTGTAATCTGATCCAAAACCAGATCAGGCCAGCCCCTTCCTATTTCATCACTCCCGAAAATAATGCTAATCCGATTCTGGACTGAACATTGAGGGCAATTGGTAATCAAATGGAAACAAAATCAGCGAACAATTCACTCGGCAATGCCAAGTTCGTTGCTCAAGTCTTTTGTTTGCGGGGCAGTATTATCCGACAATCGAACCAGCCATAGATCAATTAATATACAATAATCTCCGTTGTTAATTAGCCTTTGAATTAGCTGCAAATTACAGGGGGAAGCACGAATCCAATTTAATCCTTCCTGTCGCCGCACAATTACAAAACAAAGTCGTCAAAAGACTTTTAATTTCTTCCTTATTCCGAGGTGTATCATAAACACTCTATTTAGATAGCCGGCACTCAAGAGTATAACGATGTTATTTAATAATTGTAAGTACTTGCAAGATGTTATAAAAAGAAACACGCTTATCTTGAAGATAAAGCCAAAGAAAGGTGAGTATTTTCGGGCCTTATATAAAGTCCAAGCAACCAGTTTGCTTCCAAAGAAACAAAAACACTTAACGGGTGACACTCAAGAAGATGCCCCCTTTTAGCAAACGTAACAATTATTGTTTTCATACTCTTGCCAAGGGTATACCAGTTTTTTGGGGAAAGTGTAGATTTAATTATAATAGGGGGGACAGAAATTTTTGAAAAAAATGAATGAAAAATATAGTTTCTAGGTTTTGATGCAGATTTAAAGAGAATCGATCCACAAATCGTTTAAGGTAACCCGTTCAAGAATCGGATGGATAATGGCCGAGATATTCCTTCCCAAAGGTTCGTAATTTCGTGTTTCTCGATTTTCCCCATTTTTGAAGGGGGTCGATCAAAAAATTTTGAAAAAATGGGATCCAAAATTTTGTTTCTAGGTTTTGATGCAGATTTAAAGAGAATCGATCCACAAATCGTTTAAGGTAACCCGTTCAAGAATCGGATAGATAATGGCCGAGATATACCTTCCTAAAGGTCCGTAATTTCGTGTTTCTCGGTTTTCCCCATTTTTGAAGGGGGTCCATCAAAAAATTTTGAAAAATTGGGATCAAAAATTTTGTTTCTAGGTTTTGATGCAGATTTGAAGAGAATCGATCCACAAATCGTTTAAGGTAACCCGTTCAAGAATCGGATAGATATTGGCTGAGATATACCTTCCCAAAGGTCCGTAATTTCGTGTTTCTCGGTTTTCCCCATTTTTGAAGGGGGTCTATCAAAAAATTTTGAAAAAATGGGATCAAAAATTTTGTTTCTAGGTTTTGATGCAGATTTGAAGAGAATCGATCCACAAATCGTTTAAGGTAACCCGTTCAAGAATCGGATGGATAATGGCCGAGATATACCTTCCCAAAGGTCCGTAATTTCGTGTTTCTCGGTTTTCCCCATTTTTGAAGGGGGTCTATCAGAAAATTTTGAAAAAATGGGATCAAAAATTTTGTTTCTAGGTTTTGATGCAGATTTGAAGAGAATCGATCCACAAATCGTTTAAGGTAACCCGTTGAAGAATCGGATGGGTAAAGGCCGAGATATATCTTCCCAAAGGTCCGTAATTTCGTGTTTCTCGGTTTTCCCCATTTTTGAAGGGGGTCTATCAGAAAATTTTGAAAAAATGGGATCAAAAATTTTGTTTCTAGGTTTTGATGCAGATTTAAAGAGAATCGATCCACAAATCGTTTAAGGTACCCCGTTCAAGAATCGGATAGATATTGGCTGAGATATACCTTCCCAAAGGTCCGTAATTTCGTGTTTCTCGGTTTTCCCCATTTTTGAAGGGGGTCTATCAGAAAATTTTGAAAAAATGGGATCAAAAATTTTGTTTCTAGGTTTTGATGCAGATTGAAAGAGAATCGATCCACAAATCGTTTAAGGTACCCCGTTCAAGAATCGGATAGATATTGGCTGAGATATACCTTCCCAAAGGTCCGTAATTTCGTGTTTCTCGGTTTTCCCCATTTTTGAAGGGGGTCTATCAGAAAATTTTGAAAAAATGGGATAAAAAATTTTGTTTCTAGGTTTTGATGCAGATTTAAAGAGAATCGATCCACAAATCGTTTAAGGTAACCCGTTCAAGAATCGGATGGATAATGGCCGAGATATATCTTCCCAAAGGTCCGTAATTTCGTGTTTCTCGATTTTCCCCATTTTTGAAGGGGGTCCATCAAAAAATTTTGAAAAAATGGGATCAAAAATTTAGTTTTTAGAATTTGATGCAGATTTGAAGAGAATCGATCCACAAATCGTTTAAGGTAACCCGTTCAAGAATCGGATAGATATTGGCTGAGATATACCTTCCCAAAGGTCCGTAATTTCGTGTTTCTCGGTTTTCCCCATTTTTGAAGGGGGTCTATCAGAAAATTTTGAAAAAATGGGATCAAAAATTTTGTTTCTAGGTTTTGATGCAGATTTAAAGAGAATCGATCCACAAATCGTTTAAGGTAACCCGTTCAAGAATCGGATGGATAATGGCCGAGATATATCTTCCCAAAGGTCCGTAATTTCGTGTTTCTCGATTTTCCCCATTTTTGAAGGGGGTCCATCAAAAATTTTGAAAAAATGGGATCAAAAATTTAGTTTTTAGAATTTGATGCAGATTTGAAGAGAATCGATCCACAAATCGTTTAAGGTAACCCGTTCAAGAATCGGATAGATATTGGCTGAGATATACCTTCCCAAAGGTCCGTAATTTCGTGTTTCTCGGTTTTCCCCATTTTTGAAGGGGGTCTATCAAAAAATTTTGAAAAAATGGGATCAAAAATTTTGTTTCTAGGTTTTGATGCAGATTTAAAGAGAATCGATCCACAAATCGTTTAAGGTAACCCGTTCAAGAATCGGATGGGTAATGGCCGATATATACCTTCCCAAAGGTCCGTAATTTCGTGTTTCTCGGTTTTCCCCATTTTTGAAGGGGGTCCATCAAAAAATTTTGAAAAAATGGGATCAAAAATTTAGTTTTTAGAATTTGATGCAGATTTGAAGAGAATCGATCCACAAATCGTTTAAGGTAACCCGTTCAAGAATCGGATAGATATTGGCTGAGATATACCTTCCCAAAGGTCCGTAATTTCGTGTTTCTCGGTTTTCCCCATTTTTGAAGGGGGTCTATCAGAAAATTTTGAAAAATGGGATCAAAAATTTTGTTTCTAGGTTTTGATGCAGATTTAAAGAGAATCGATCCACAAATCGTTTAAGGTAACCCGTTCAAGAATCGGATGGATAATGGCCGAGATATATCTTCCCAAAGGTCCGTAATTTCGTGTTTCTCGATTTTCCCCATTTTTGAAGGGGGTCCATCAAAAAATTTTGAAAAAATGGGATCAAAAATTTAGTTTTTAGAATTTGATGCAGATTTGAAGAGAATCGATCCGCAAATCGTTGAAGATACTCCGCTTGAGAATCGGATGAATATTGGCCAAGATATAGCCTTCCCAAGGACCATATTGTCGAATTTCGTGATTTTCCCCATTTTCAAAGGGGGTCCATCAGAAAATTTTGAAAAAATCGGATCGAAAATTTTATTTTCAGGTTTTGATGCAAATCTACGGAGAATCGATCCAAAAATCGATTAAGGTACTCCGCTTAAGAATCGGATGGATATTGGCCAAGATATAGCCTTCCCAAGGGCCCTATTTTGGAGATTCTTGAATTTCCCCATTTTCGAAGGGGGTCCATCAGAAAATTTTGAAAAAATCGGATCGAAAATTTTATTTTCAGGTTTTGATGCAAATCTACGGAGAATCGATCCAAAAATCGATTAAGGTACTCCGCTTAAGAATCGGATGGATAATGGCCGAGATATACCTTCCCAAAGGTCCGTTTAAGGTTTAAGGTATCCCGCTTAAAAATCGAATTTATAATGGCCACGATATGACCAGAGGAAACCAGTTAAAGTAAAAAAGTTTATGTAAAAAACGAAAACATGAAAACAAGATACCATTTCAGATGATATTGGACAAAATGTTAAATTATTGATAGTACTATAAAATATCTATGAAAATATATTTTTTTTGAGCTACTGGCCAATTATATAGCTAATTAAATAATGTAGAAAGAAAGTATTTTACTTTACTTGAAGTAAAATGTTATCGAAAATACCAAGATTCTGGTATTATTGCGGTAAATTTTTTGGCCAACTATCGATAGACTGGGCTTATATCGAAATACCGCAGCCTGATATCCAGATTGCCCAATAATACCGAACGCCAAACGCCGTGGATACGAGAAGGGTCATTGTTATTTTTTCTAATCGCCTCAATTTCTGCCATCGTCGTGAAAACAAATAGGGCGCAGAAAGTGCAACGCGTTGGGCCCATTTCTAATAAACCATCAACCGGAAACGGAAGGCCAGTCGGGAGAGGCGCGCATAAAACAGACAAAAAAAATAAATAAATTCATTTTGTTTTGTTTGCCAAAAAAACGGTGCAGCCATTTCCCTGTGTGTGTGAGTGAGTGAGTTTATGTTAACACGTTTGTGTATGTGTGTGTGTGCGTGAGCATTTGCGTGTGCGTGCGTGAGTGTGTGTTTCTCTCGCTGGCTCTCTGCATTTCTATTTCCCTTTTTTTTTTTGGTACCGTTTTCTTCCTCATCCCCCAAGTGCCGCTTTAAATTAAATAATTGCATTATTTTTTGTGTGAAATCAGCAGGAACTATGTGCTATTTGAATATTAAAAGTCCCAATCAAAGTGATGGCCGTAAAATATTGAATTCGGCGTTGAAATAATTTTGAAGAAAAACAAAAACAAGAAAACACTACCGATACGCGGCGAAGTAAAAATCAATAATTAGAGCGCTCGTTCGTCGAGCAAAAGCTAAAAAAGCCAAAGGCTAAAACAAAAAAAAAGAAAACAGATTACAAAAGGTATGCAGTAGAATCGAACATAAAAAACTTAAGTCCATGGGTCTAAAAAACACAAAAAACTCTATGTAAGTGTGTACACGCACACAATAAAACATATAAATATACATATGCATATATGTTTCGATATATTCCGATATATATGTATATGTATGGATATTGGTTTTTGGGAAATTCGTGAAAAATGCAACACAAAACACGAAATGAAAAAAGAACCATCAAATGTCAATTTCGTATATTTCGATTTTCCGGAAATGCAGGGTGGCATACAGCATCCACCGGACACATGGGGCAGCAGCCTTGCCTGCCTGCCAGCCAAACCCTCCCCCCTTTATGTATATTTTTGCGGCGAAAAATCCCCCATTTTCCAACCAAAAGTTGCATTTTCCAACATAAGGCATCGAAATGCAATCGAATTTTTAGTTCAAGAATATATATATATATATATTCCATTACCTAATAGGCAGGTAGGGAACTATACTATATATATACAATGCACTTTTTTTTTTTGTTGTTAGTTTCCTTACGTTTTTTTTTGTGGTTTCTGTTTTTGTTGTAATGCCAAGACAGAGGCGGACCTGAGAGAGGAGAGTGTTGTGTACGAAAATCGATGAAATCATGTAACCAAAACATACAAGTAAATATGTCTTACTTATTTGTATGTAAGGAAAATGTTACATGCATGCGAATGCCAAGCATGCCCATTGCGTTTCTTTCTTTTTTTTCCAATGGGTTCTTTACCATAAATTTTACAAAACAAAAGTAATAATAAATCAGGGGGAAAAATCTTAAATTCCAGCCATAAATTAAAAAGCTCCTGCATTTATGTATTTTTCATTCATTTTATTTCCCTAGAACTTGCTTGTGTAAACCAACAAAAAAAAAAAAGAAACATTTTTGAAAGAAACATGATTCAGCCTCTTTGATTTCTGCATTCTGTAAAGCTATCCAATTAGTTTTGTTCAACAGTTTTTTTAATAAATATATTCTCATATATATCTATATATAATCTTTTTTGAATTATGGAGGATTTTGCTGTCATCCCTTAAATAAAAAAATGCCGCTAAACTTTTATACCTAGTTCTTAGCATTTGCCATCTAATATCCTATACGTTTTTTTTGTGGATTTTTGTTTAATACAAAATTTGATGTTACAATTCTGAAAGATTGGTGTTGATCATCTTTTTCTTATATTTTCAAATCACAAACAAAATCAACAAAATTCTAGAGCACTACAGATTTCACCAAAAAGATTCTATATAAAAAAAATACCATAAAAAGTACGTGAAAATTCGATTCCAAAGTCATGTTAAACAGCGCAAATAACAATTCTCTCCAGCATGTAAGTAGACGAAAATCGTCATTCAAATTATATATATCATTTTCCATGAATTGTTTATGTAAATAATAAATATTTAATCAAAAAACTGCCTGTAATGCACGATAAAGCATGAAATATTTTAAAAAACAAACATACTTCACATTTAAACTTAGTCTTGACTATAATTTATGTTTAAAAGCATCTTGGTTTAAGTACAAGGAGTGTTAGTATTTTTTTGAAACTCAAAAAAGGGCTTCTGAAAATCTTGGTATTTTTTCAAAATTATAGAAGCCCTTAAGATTTGTCTAAACTAAATTATTAGTAGAGATTTTGAAAAATAGTTCAAATATACCATGTTTTTCCAGCTAGTATTTTTTCCAAGAGGCTGACTGTTGTGTTGCATGTTTTGAAACATCACTTGCTTGTAAAACACTTTTTATTTGCATTTGGATTAGCCCTAATATATCAGAGAATGAACTAATTTAGCAAAGAATTTACACACATGTCCCTTAGAGATGGATGATCTTGATACACCAGACTTTTACCACTCTCACCATCAAAAGATGTCCGACGAATGACACTCGACACACAGGTGCTGGTGTCGCATAAATATTTTTGCATTGTATTCGAATATTTGGGAGGGGAATACTTGGGGAAAATAAGGCGGCACAAAATTTTAAGGCTAATAAGTTTTTAATTAAGTTTCAAGCTTATTTGAAATACACTTTCTGCACTTTCGGTGGCTATCTTTTTTTGAAACTCGAACGAAACACAAACTTTCTTATCAAGAAATGTTTTTTATTAATGGGCACTCGAGTTCAAGCTCATTGTTATCTTTCCGATTTTTATCTATTTTTGTTATCTGTGTTTAGTTTATATTTTATATCACTGTCACTATTTAAAGGGAAAACAGATCTCGAGTGAAGAGCTGGCAGCTGGTAAATGTGAAAACACCCACGCAAATGAAGGCGTCAATTCCTCCAAAAAACCTAAAACCAAAAATATTTATTCATCAAAAAGATTCTCAAACCAAAAACCAAAAATTGTGTAAATGTAAATGTGTAAAAGGAGACTGAGAAAGGAGACCGATACACTAATACACATTGGATGGAAATATAAAAACACAGATTTATTTTAGAAAACGTTGCGTTGATTACTGCAAATTTTGATACGCAAATGCAACTCATGCATCTCTGAGTTCTTGCCGCAGCTGCTGCAGCAATAACCGCTCCACCGGCATCAAAATATATATCTTTCCTTTTTTATACCCTTGCAGAGGGTATTATAATTTTGGTCAAAAGTGTGCAACGCAGTGAAGGAGACATCTCCGACCCTATAAAGTATATATATTCTTGATCAGGATCACCTCCTGAGTTGATATGAGCATGTCCGTCTGTCCGTCTGTCCGTCTGTCCGTCTGTCCGTCTGTCCGTCTGTCCGTCTGTCTGTCCGTCTGTCTGTTTCTACGCGAACTAGTCTCTCAGTTTTAAAGCTATCGTCTTGAAACTTTGCACACACCCTTCTTTCCTTTGCACGCAGTATATAAGTCGGAACGGCCCGGATCGGCCGACTATATCCTATAGCTGCCATATAACTGATTGATCGGAAATGGTATAACTTTGGTGTTTTTAGAGTTAGAGAGTTCAAATTTGACATGTGAGCTATTTTTGGCAAAACATTACGTCATGCCAAATTTCATAAGGATCGGCCGACTATATCCTATAGCTGCCATATAACTGAACGATCGGAAATGACCCAACTTTCGTGTTTTTGAAGATAGAAAGCTGGAACTTAGTACAGATTTAATTCTTGGTCAGTTGATCCAACCTACCAAATTTCATTAGGATCGGCCGACTATATCCCATAGCTGCCATATAACTGAACGATCGGAAATGGTATTTGGTAGAAATATCAACTTTCGTATTTTTGAAGATAGAAGTTTGGGACTTTTTTTAGATTTTGTATTGTAATAAATTGGATTATATATTCCTATTCCCATAAGGATCGGCCAACTATATCCGATGTTTGCGATATATATCCGGTTTTAACTGCAAGGGTATATAAACTTCGGCTCCGCCCGAAGTTAGCTTTCCTTTCTTGTTTTTTTTTGCCTTTAATGCCATTTCGTTCATGCCCCTTCTGGGCCATTTGCTGGGATATGGTCTTCATTAATCCACTAAATGCGATGTTATCAATAGCCAAGCATCTCGATTTTCAGACAGTCTCCCCCAGAAAGCTATTCAAATTAAATGAATAAATGATAAATACCATTAAAGCAAGGTTGTTTCATGTCTCAGCATTCATGTCTGCTCGTTCCAATCAAAGCGACACCCTTTAATTAATTAGTCTATTAATTAAGACTCCTAAACAAATAAGGAAACCACTCGCACATGCACACGTTTAAGAATCTTGCCTAGTCTTTTGTTTTGTGAATTTCTAGGACATTTAATGGACAGCCGCATGTGGTAGACTCTTCAACACATCTTAAAAGGGAAGAAAGGGTATAAAAATATCGAGCTTCTCGAAATAATCAGCTAGCCGTGCAAATTATCTATACACACGTACAAGAATGTCTCTTCACAAATGTCTGTGGACATATTTTCTTTTTTTTCCCTTATATTTGCTTTTTTTCTTTTTCTGCCTTTTTTTTTTTTTAATAATTTCAGTTCCTTCTATAAAATTAGCTGCAGATTGCTTTTGTCGTTGTCAGTTAAATGTCAGTGCTTAGCCGGGAAACTCGAAAGTCGTCAGTCAGTCGCTCCTGATCGTCACAGCCAGCCAGGCAGCCAAAAAGGATAATTTATCTCGAAAATATACTATACTTATATAGGATACCCAATTACTATGTATCCAGTATATTATAGGCCAGGGCGTGGGGGCTATAAATCATATCCCCACCATGCCATGCGCGTGGCTAGATCATCTACGATTTTCTATCAACGTCAGCATTTTTATGCCCATAAGCGTTTTGTAAACAGGAGACTTAAAGTATTTAGTAAACGGGATTTAATGTTAGCGGCTTTACAAAGATATAGTGTAAGTTTTCCGCAAGAAAGCCTCGAAAGTTAAAGAATAAGGTTCGGGTTCGAGTTTTTTTTTAAAGGACATGGGGGTATATATTTTTGTTGAACCATTTTTGTTGCGCTCTTGTATATCCAGTGTCTTGTTATAACTGTCTATATAGTATTGATGTTGTTGTGTGTAAAACTAAATACTAAAAAATAAAAAACCAAAACTAAAAACATATAATAAATAATATTGTGTGTATGTATGTGACTAACAAACTAAAATAAATAAAAATATTAATTATTTAAAGCATACCTACACACAAAAAGGACACCTTTTTTTCAACAAAAAAAGCAAAAAAAAGGATGTTTGAATGCTTTTCGTTGTACTGTACATGTCCATTTAAAACATTGTTGTCTAAATAATTCTATATGCAAATTGAATACAAATAGTAATATATCTATTTTTCCATGTAGCCGGTGACAACACCATCCGAAATCAACATGAATGGCTATAACCGCAAAGCGCCACAAAAGCGGCGCTATGATATGCCAAAATATGCCGGTAAATAAAAAACTTTATCCACTTTACCACTTTTCCCCCACTTTTCGCCCACTTATAACACTCTATAACACGCGATCTCTATACTATTACAACACAGTGCCACCTAAAAAGAAAACAACAAAGGAACGGATACCACAGCCGAAGAATACGGTGGCTATGCTAAATGAGTTAAGACATGGACTGATTTACAAATTGGAGTCACAGACTGGTCCGGTGCACGCACCTTTATTTACAATATCCGTTGAGGTGAGATGAATACTTGTACGGATCTATTGATCTATTTGCATAAAGAATATCCATAACACTCGTAAAACAAAAAATGCCACTAAAGTCCGTTTTTTTTTTTTTTATCTGTTTCTATTGGTATTCCACGCAATCTAGAGACACAAAATTGCATATCAATAGATCAATAGGGGTTGTACGGTTGTGATATGTGGGTTATATATGGTCTAGTGTGGGTATATGGTAACAAGCACCGTAAATGGCTATAAAGTGTGCATGACATTTAGCCGTTAAGGGCCCAAAAGCAACTAGTATAGGTAGTAATAAACAAAAACAATTGTTTCCCCAGTTGTTGGGCATTCGCATCTGATTTTTATTGACCTGAAAAGCTATATTCGTTGTCAATATAAATCAAGTACTTGATATGCAAATCGTTGAATGTGTGTCTTTTCTTAACAATAAAAAAAGAAAAACAATTTAAAAAAAAAAGGGAAATAAGCTTGCTGGAAATACTAGAACTAGTTAACAATTGTAACAAAAAATCAATGTCAAGACCACTTTAAACTTTTGTATTAATAGCCTTTATATTAATATTTAAAATTTGTTTTCAAACAATAGGTCGATGGACAGAAGTACATGGGCCAAGGTCGCAGTAAAAAAGTAGCACGCATCGAAGCTGCTGCCACGGCACTGCGTAGCTTTATACAATTTAAGGATGGAGCCGTTTTGTCGCCATTGAAGCCATCGGGCAACTTGGACTTTACCAGCGATGAGCATCTCGAAAATGGTATTGAAAATATGTCCAATGTCGCATTGGTCGATTACATTCAGACGTTGATGTTGACTGCTAAATCCAACCTTACCTCGCTTGAACAACCCACGTTGCGTCTTCAAATGTTTTGCATGAGTCAGAGCAAGTATTAGTGATTTTTTTTGGTTTATTTTCCTCTTCTGTTCGATTATTTTAATTTATTATTTAAACCTATAATTTATTGTGAAACCATTGAAACAAAATGTTATTTGACTTTTGCCCAATAACCCAAGAACCAAATGAAATATTGATCAGTTTTCCATTTTTACTCAAAATCACAAATCAAGAAAGAGTACAAATGGAAGGAAAGCCTTTATAGTTTTTGTTTTTATGTGTGTTGGCTTATCCCCTTTCTTGCAAAGTTCTTATAATGTTTTAAAAGCCTCTTTTCTGATAATTTTTAATGAAAAAAACTGCTTGTATAATAAAGATTTAATGCCTTAATATTATTTTCATTCATGTCTTTGAAGGTTTCTAAATTAAGACACTGTAATGCTTTTTCTTCTAATGTTTGTACATAATAATTTTTAAAACACTGCAATTTAATTTATAACTACATTTATGTGTTTCCTTGCCTTTCTGTTAATTTCTTTTTTTGTATGTTGGTTGGAGATTAAATTTAAAGAAATTAAGAAACTTCTGTGTGTGCGTATGAGTGTGTGACATAAGTTTAGATGATAAGTTAGATCAGGCAGCTGCTGATCACCCGACTTTAATCTATTACTTTAATTTTCTATTGCCAGATGTCAGCAAGAGCGCCATTACGGTCGATGGCCAGAAGAAAGTACCAGACAAAGGCCCTGTGATGCTGCTCTACGAACTCTTCAACGATGTTAATTTCGAGTGCATTAATATTGATGGGGCTCAGAACAACTGTCGCTTTAAGATGACGGTGACAATTAATGAGAAGAAGTTTGATGGGACAGGTAAGTGTATGAGGTTGCAAAGGACTTGGCAAGGAGTCTCTCTTCTTGCAAAGTCTTCTAGATACCCTCAATTATAATAATCTCCCACAATTACCAGGTATTAATATTTCTTTCTTATTTCCAGGTCCATCTAAAAAATTGGCTAAAAACGCAGCTGCCAAAGCGGCTTTGGCCTCGCTGTGCAACATCTCGTATAGCCCCATGGTGGTGCCGCAAAAGAACGTGCCACTGCCCATCGACGACAAGTCATCGTCCATGGAACTGCCCCAGATCCATGCGGACACCATTGGTCGTCTGGTATTGGAGAAGTTCATGGAGGTGATTAAGGGTCAGGAGGCCTATTCGCGGCGAAAGGTATTGGCTGGCATTGTAATGACTGAAAACATGAATTTTTGCGAAGCCAAAGTGAGTTGCTAACTAGCTAGTTGTATACTAGCTAGTCTACATCAATATATATCTAAAATCTGAATATGATCCCGATTACATCAATATCCATTCGAATAGGTAATTTCGGTATCGACGGGCACCAAGTGCGTCAGCGGCGAACATATGAGCGTGAACGGAGCTGTTCTGAACGATTCCCACGCCGAGATCGTGTCCAGGCGATGTCTTCTCAAGTACTTATATGCCCAGCTGGATCTTCAGTGCAATCAGGGTATAGTTGTTTGATGTCTAAGCCAAGTTTTTCCATATATATCTCATAAAACTGATCTAGTCTTAAGTAAGACAACCCTATCTAGTCTAGCATTTAGTTTCTATTGTAAAGTCTTATGAAAAGAGAGAAAACATTGTCGAAAGTGTCTTAAATTTTTGTTGAAATCCTGCCAAAAAGAAATATTAGTCATTATTAGAATATAATCACGGAGTGCTAACCGTTATTTTTCTGAATTTTTAGGGCAACTAGATATTCCTAAAAACCCACCAAACTCTTTGTTTTCAATTGGCTTACAGTTTCATTTATCCATTTCATTATCCTATAGAATCACCAACTGTTTTGATTTTATTATTTTAATTTAACAAAAGCCAAGTTATAGGCATTTTATGCTTTATCCATCACTTTTAATTACAAAACCAAAACAAAGATATATATTATATATACCCCTCCATAAAAAAAACAGATTCTTTTCATATATATACCCCTTGTGTATTAATGAAAAGAAAAATGAATTTAAGAAACTAAATCTAAAACGTTTTCATTTAATTTATATTTGATTACTCTTATTCAATTTTCTCTTAAATTTAGCCACAGCATATCAGTCGATTTTCGTGAGGAATACTGATGGGCAATACCCTTATAAACTAAAATCCGGGGTACATTTCCATTTGTATATAAATACAGCACCTTGTGGGGATGCACGGATATTTAGTCCTCACGAAAACGACACAGGTGTTGATAAACATCCAAATAGGTTGGTACAATCGATCTTATATATATATACTTTTATAACTACTTGCTACTATATACTTTTAATGAATTACTTTACATATGTTCTTATACACGAAAACTTTATACAAAATTGTACAAAAAAAACCGAAAAGAGAATACATGACAAAAGTATTAAGTAGAAAACTAATCAATTAATTAGTTAAATTTTGTAAAAAAAAAAAAAAACAAAATATAAAATGGAAATCTGGGAAATGCAGTGATGAATATGCATTAATATATATATACGTATTCGAATATGTATGAATATATTGGCATTATCAAAATCTAAACACAAGCATGTATAGAAGTTATGAATCCGGGTATTATTAAGTTTTTTATTCTTTTTTTTTGTATAGTTTTTTTTGTTTAATTTCTTATCTTGCTAATATTAATCTTCAGATTATGATATATATAACTTGAAATTGAAACCTCTCCTTCAACACTGAGTTGTCTGTCTGTTTTAAGACTCTGTTTCGAAATCCCTATTGTAAGTTCCCCCCGAATGTAAAGCTCCAATTGGATTAAAAAAAAAATGCAAAATAAATTCTTGACAAAAATATGTGAAACAAGGTTGAAATTTCATCGTAGCTCTCTAAGAATCTTACAAAAAAATGTAGTTTTAATGTGAATATTTCTCGTTCTGTCTACTTAAAAGCCACAAAAAAGAACTGACCATGTTTTGTTCATAATATTGACTTGGCATGTTTCGAAATAACTTTTTAAACAATCAAAATAATTCTATTTTCATATTCATTTCCACACACAATGCCGCGCCCACATTTACACTTAAAAAAAAAAAACAATATAAAACCTAATCAACTATAGAAAAGCCCGTGGACAGTTACGCACGAAGATCGAGTCCGGGGAAGGAACAATACCAGTTAAAAGCAGCGATGGCATACAAACGTGGGACGGCGTTTTGCAGGTTAGTCTTTATTTTTATATAATATTTTATATAAATTATTAATAATATATATGTGTTTTTTTCTAAAAACTAGGGCCAACGCCTGCTCACAATGTCGTGCTCGGATAAAATCGCACGCTGGAACATTGTGGGTATACAGGGTTCCTTACTGTCTTCCATAATTGAACCAGTGTACCTGCATTCTATTGTCTTGGGGAGTCTTTTGCACCCAGAGCATATGTACCGGGCTGTATGCGGTCGGATCGAGAAGTCCATCCAGGGTCTGCCGCCGCCCTATCATTTGAATAAGCCCCGTCTGGCATTGGTGACATCGGCCGAGCCGCGTAACCAGGCCAAGGCGCCAAATTTTGGCATTAACTGGACCATCGGTGATACGGAACTGGAGGTGGTTAACTCCCTAACTGGCAGGACCATTGGTGGTCAGGTGTCGCGTATTACCAAGCAGGCGTTTTTCGTTAAATACGGATTCTTGATGAAGAATCTGCCGGGTATATTGGTGCGCAAAGTGACCACAGACTATGGTCAAACGAAGGCTAATGTCAAAGACTATCAGGTGGATATCTAATACAATATTTCAGTTGATTTATATTAATATTATTATATACTTATTTTGTAGACCGCTAAATTAGAACTGTTTTCCGCGTTTAAACGAGAAGATCTGGGAAGCTGGCTGAAGAAACCGATCGAACAAGACGAGTTCGGACTTAACGAATGACTGCATTCACAAACAGCTCTATCGATGGGAAATGAAATGTTTAAAAAAGACAAATGCAACGGCAAGCAATTAATAGAATTAGAAGCAATAGCTTATAGTAACAAATCGTATGTAGAATGCAAAATAAGTTTGATGCAAAAGCATCAGAATCAACAAAATGAACAAAATCAGCAAGAACTAGAACAACAAACTGAACAAAATCAGCAAAAACAGCGAAACTTGTGTCCCAAAAATCTCAATGGCAAGCACAACGATGCTATTGCTCGAATAATGGAAAACGGCTCTAGAATATTTATAGAATAGAATGTAGTTTTTATGCTGGAACTGAGTAAAGGAGTATTATGGCGTTTTTTTGAAATCAATTGAATTATTTTTAATATATATTATTATTATTATTTTTTTTTTTTTGTTGAATAATTTTATGTGAATAAAATTGGCAAAAACCGACGACTTCTTCCTTCTCTCACACAAGTTTTCCCACAAGAAGAAATATATTATATATATATCTATATATCGGTTGCATTCTTAACAAATTAACAACTTACATTTTACGTATATTATATGAGATGTACACTGTTTTAGATTTTACAAGTTTCAAACAAACAAAAAGAATATTGTTACAAAAATATATATAAATATAAACAACAAACAAACCAGAGAGACACAAGATAAACAAAAAGAAACTTTAAACTTTCACATGGAATCTGGAGAATGAATTTTGTTTACAATTAAGAAATGTGTATGTTGTTAAGTTATGTTATTTGCAACGACATAATAAATAATATAATAAAGTCACGCTTAATATATACATATACATATAAATTGAAAAAGTAGATTTCGAAATGATACATATTTCTCACATACATACATTTTTCTTCGAATCATATATAAACCATACTATGTTCTTGGCTAGAATGAGACTTTAAAGTTTAAACTAATATACCAAAACTATTAATCAACTACCAGATTATTTAGATTTCTTTGTAATTGCCAGATTAGTTGAAATAAATCACACCTACGAATTACGTATTAGATTAGTTACAAATCTACAACAAAGCAAATCTCCAAAGCAACAAAAATATGAAAACGATGAAAGATTAACCAATTAAAGCAAAAAGACAGGCGGCTGCTTAAAAATGTTAACCATAAGCTTGTAATGTCATTTTGCATTATATTGTATTAGTTTTTTGGACAGTAGAACAACATACCGATCTTGCTATTTTTTTCCCCCACAAGAAAAAAAAAACAAAAAAAAATTCACTGCTTCCTCTGATTTCTTCCAGTATATAATATATATATAGAAAAAAAACAACAAAAAACAGAGAAAACATAAACTTTTTAGTTGGTTTCACTGCCAATACATTTTTTTGCTGATTGCTCGTTTAATTTCTAATAAAATAACGATTTTTTATGGCCCCAATATTTGGTGACCTCGAAATTTTTGCGCCCAGTATCTGGTGACCCCGAAAATCTGAACTGAATCTGTCACCACGTATTGAGGCTTCCTTTTGAGTTCTATTTTTGACTTAATTGTACATGAAATTTCCCCACAAAAAATTAAATTGCATTCTAAAATGCAATCAAAAAAGTTGATTCCTTTTGAAAACGAAAAAGACGGCATGACATTTTAGAGCAGGACAGCCAATGTCCGATGCCTAAGTGCATGTATTTGATTCGGTGTTATCCTGTAACTTACATTAAGTGAGTAGTTTTTCCCAAATTCGAATTACCATTTTTCCATTTAGTTTAATGTTATTCATGTACAATATGTTTTGAATAAAAGAAAAAAAATATGAGAAAACGTGGTAGAATTCCTGAATTATTTGTTTATAAATTTACATATAATACCCATGGCATTAATGTGACGACGAGGCACATGCGAAAATAGGTAATATTTGCATAAAATACAGCAAGCATATAATGGATAAACAAAAAGTTGATCTTATATAAAATACTGTGATACTAAATTTTACTAGTACTTCCAGCATAGCTGCATTTTATCCATTCTTAAATATTCTATGTTAACAATAAAAGAAAAACTAAAAACAACGGCAGCATCAGCTAAAAATAATCAATAAAAAACAAGAAAACCGAAAACTATATAGGAAACAAGATGAAAATTTTAAAACGAATATAATATGTATACATTTAAACATTGCTTGTCTACATTAGATTTTCAAATAAGAAATTTTACAATGAAGTGAACGGAAAGTAAAGATTTAAAATGAAAACCTAAAACTGAAGTGAAATACGTATAGGAGCGCGTAGGTATACAATTGGGGTTTCTGATATATCATTTTTTATTGCAATGCAACCACAATAGCCACTTCGAAGCCAGGAAACAACAAATATATATATATATGATTATATATATATTACATATATATGGAAACTTCACTTAACTCTATATATATATAAAAAAAGTATAAATTAAACTGTAGATGGAAACGAAACTGTTCAACACTTTAACAATAATTATATTGGAATATAAATTTTGAATTTTCAAAACGATTAGGTTAGTTAATGGTTTTTAGAAACCCAGACAACAAAAACATTATTGTTCAATATTAGACTTAGTAAGACCTAAGAAATCAGCGAGATATAAGCTAAAAAAAACACACACACCCTCACTCAAAGAACACACATAAAAACATATTTATTTCATTTTAGATTTGATGAGTTTTTTAGTTGCGTAGCCTGACTTTTTCCTAAACATAAACGACATACAACATACCTACATATAAAATATACGTATATATCCATTATGTTCATCAATGAATTCCAATAATGCTAAAAAATAAGACACTAAAAAGCCCTCAAAATACGCATAAAGGGTTTTGCTCAAATTGCAAACAGAAACCTTTGACAGCCATTTCTCTTCCTTCCGGCTACAATAAATAAAAACAAAAACAAATATATAATATATATGAAAAAAAAATTGTAGATGCGAAATAAAAAAGGTGAATTATTGTGTAACCAAAAAATGATTGAAAAAGCATATAGACATCACAGTGATAAGTGATACGTTAAAAAAAGAAGCGCTAGACCAAAACTAATAACAAATATAAATAGCAAGTACGTGCATAGTTTATAAACAATAATTAACAATTATTGCATACGTACGTAAAAAATCGAAAAAAGGCAAAAATTGGTTTTAGTTTAGTTGATACATTTTTTTTCTTTTTTTTTCAATGTTGAAAGACTATAATCGATAAGAAATTTAAGACATAACTTGCGAAACTTAGTGCCGATAAGTAGGATGAAGGATGCTTACAGAACAAAACATAGAACTGCAAAAGTACATTTTCTTTTATTATCGAAAACAAAAAAAAATTATGAATTCCACATGACACCACAATCTCTTAGATACATAGTATACTAACACATTATTATTAACTTCTTAAAACGAAAAACAAAAACGTATATAAGAACACAGAATGTAATCTCAGAAAAGCAGAAACAGTACTTACACATCTTATACTTCGCTCTTTCTATTAGAAGTTTCCAATAATTTGCCTAGTCATTAAGCAAAAACCATACAAAAAGGTATCTAGTCAGAAAAAGGATAATACATATTTATATATATCACCGATCCACAGAACTATATAGTGTGGCACTAGATTATGTTCCGCAAAAAAGAAAACACGACAAAAAAAAACACAAAAAACATTGGCTTTTGGCTATTTTAGGTGCAAGTTTTAGCTTTTTCCTGCTCTCTTAGATCGTTTGATTCACCATACATATTCTCTATAACTTCAAACTTTGAATTCAAACATATATATTATATATATAGACAGAAGCGAGAAATAAACTCTTTTTTAGATGCTGTAGTGATTTCGAGACGGCCTTAATTAGTTTTTCAAATTAAACTATAATCTCTAAGTTGTTTAATCGATCGGAAGGCGAAGTGTAAGTGACAAATGCATATATATATCGCTCCTTTACGTTCAAAATAAATAACAAACAAACAAATATATATATTGAGGTAAAAAGTGTATAACTTAACAAAGACACAAAGCGAAAATATTGTTTTCCGGATTGACAAAATTAGTGCAACTATCCGAACTAAAAATCCAACAACAATCCCAATTGTTAACAGCTGCAGTCAGTGAGACAACAAAAAAATACAACTTAGATATCCTAAGAGAATCCAATTGATCAATCACATGAATAAATTTTAAAATAGATTTTACGATGGTCTTTGTTTAAACAGTATATTATATATATATTATATAATATAGCGATGGAAGCATATATGGACAAGAACAAAAATTGTATTTTGCGATTTTATAATCGACTGTCAGCCAATAAAAAGTAATAATCCCGAAATTGAACAAGAAACCAAACCTTATAAGCCTATTAATATATATTTACATAAAACGTTCGGTCTCCAAAACAAAACTATTGTAAATGAAAATTAAATAAATTACCAATAATATATATAGCGTAAAAAACTAAAACATTGTCTTTTTCCTGTCTTGGATTTAAAACATACATAAGTCATGAGTGGGTTTTCATTTGTGGGCTCCACCTTTGGCATTTCAATGCGACAATTCTGAACTTTAATATTTGTGTTTTTTATTGATTTATTTAATGCCTGCTTCCTTATATTTTTTGTAATATAATGCAAATCCGTGTAAAAAGGCAACACTATCCTCATATATGAATGTTATTTTCTCGCCCCTTGTGAGCTTTCATTGTTCCAGACAGAGCTCAGGTGTGCCGTGTACCTGTGTTTTATGTACATACCTGTATTACACACAATCTCCACCTCTATCCCCATCACATATAAGCTTTTCTTTTCTTCCACCTTGATGTTAGCCAGATTTATTTTCCCTCTTATGAATGTCTAATGCGTAATGCAAACTCTGAAAGCAAAATATGTACATTGTGCCATACCTTACTTACCTCGCCCGGGCTTTTGTATAGTTTATTCAAACATTCGAATGCCATTGGCGAAACGAATTATATTCTACACAACATATCCTTATTATAAAATCTCAATGGAATTTAAATGCGATTTATTTATTTATTTATTAAACGTTGTCATTCCACACAGCATGCAGGTTTCGTCGACAACGAACTTGTTGATTTCGAAATGACAGTCCGCTGTTAACGAAACCCGGCTTCAGTGAGGATTATTCACATAACACTTAACACATTTCTTAAAACTTAAGTTTCTTAAAAGTATATTAAATATTAATTACTTAAAATATATATTTATTCACTCTATTTTATATATTGTATTATTGTATTGGTATAGACAGATTGAGAATCGAACTCGTTGAAAGAATCCTTGTCAAGAATCGGATAAGAATTGGCCAAGATATAGCCTTCCCAGTGGGCCATATTCAAAAATCCCACTTTTTGCAGGGGTCTCCCCACGAAAATTTGGAAAAAAATCGAAAAATATTTCGTTGCCAGATTTTGATGCAGATTGGTGGAGAATCAATCCACACATCGTTTAAGGTATTCCTTGCAAGAATCGGATGAGAATTGACCAAGATATGGCCTTCCCAGTGGGCCATACCCCAAAATCCCACTTTTTGCAGGGGTCTCCCCACGAAAATTTTGAAAAAAATCGAAAAAATATTTTGTTGTCAGATTTTGATGCAGATTGGTAGCGAATCCATCCACAAATCGTTTAAGGTATTCCTCGCGACAATCGGATAAGAATTGGCCAAGATATGGCCTTCCCAGTGGGCCATACCCCAAAATCCCACTTTTTGCAGGGAAAATCCCCCACGAAAATTTTGAAAAAAATCGAAAAAATATTTCGTTGCCAGATTTTGATGCAGATTGGTGGAGAATCAATCCACACATCGTTTAAGGTATTCCTTGCAAGAATCGGATGAGAATTGGCCAAGATATGGCCTTCCCAGTGGGCCATACCCCAAAATCCCACTTTTTGCAGGGGTCTCCCCACGAAAATTTTGAAAAAAATCGAAAAAATATTTTGTTGTCAGATTTTGATGCAGGTTGGTAGCGAATCCATCCACAAATCGTTTAAGGTATTCCTCGCAGGAATCGGATGAGAATTGGCCTTCCCAGTGGGCCATACCCCAAAATCCCACTTTTTGCAGGGAAAATTTTGAAAAAAATCGAAAAAATATTTCGTTGCCAGATTTTGATGCAGATTGGTGGAGAATCAATCCACGAATCGTTTAAGGTATTCCTCGCAAGAATCGGATGAGAATTGGCCAAGATATAGCCTTCCCAGTGGGCCATATTCAAAAATCCCACTTTTTGCAGGGGTCTCCCCACGAAAATTTTGAAAAAAATCGAAAAAATATTTCGTTGGCAGATTTTGATGCAGATTGGTGGGGAAACGATCCACAGATCGTTTAAGGTGTTCCTCGAAAGAATCGAATGAGAACTGGCCAAGATATGGCCTTCCCAGTGGGCTCCGATGAGAATCGGTGAAGCTATGATTTATATAAAAAATAAAGACATACAGAATCCATAACATTTTCTACTTTCTTTTAAAGAAAATTACTTTTTAAGAGTTTTAGCATCTTTATAACCAAAATTTCTCACTTAACTTCTCGGGCCTCCCCTATTACTTTGCTTTTCTAAAAAGAAATATCAAAATATGACTACTTACTGGTTGTTGAAAACAGCGAGAAACAAGAAAGTAAATAATTCACTTAAAATCAAATAAAATGTAATTTACTTTCAACGGAAACATTTCAGGGATGGTGGCACTTAAGCCGACAATGTGGCCGCCAAGCTCGTCTCTCGGTATGGTATTGCTTATAAAATAGCAGACATCCTGCGGGACGAAGGACAATCTGAATCAAGTGTCTCTTTCCTGGAAGGCAGAAAAAAAACGCAAAAAAATATGAAAAGTAATAAAAACTGACAACAAAAAAAATTGGCCATAAGAGACGTATAAGAAAGTGTGTGTTTGGAATAAGTATTTAACAAAAATATGTAAAATGTAGATGGCTGGGAAATGAATTTCAATTTTAGAAACAGTCCAGTTGCAATCACACAGAACCAGGTACCTACACGCACACACGTCAGTTAAATATTTGTTTTTTGTTCTATTTTTTAAATATAAATAGTCCAAATTTTATTGGTAAGTCCTGAAGAGATTCGTGGATTCTTTTGATACTCATGGCTTCTTTCTTCCCATCAGGTGGTCCTTAGAGGCGTCTCCTTCTATTCATGTATTAAATATAATGTGGATGCAAATGTTAGCTTAATAGAGAAAATATTTAAATTTTTATCTAATTTTGTAAAATATATTTTACAGAGGCAGTCGTGCTTTTACATCTGGAGCCAATAAGAGAATACGAAGACGCGAAGATGGCCAAGGAGAGGATCGTTCCCTGTCCCAGATTCCCTCCAGTTCCAGCAACAATGTCTTCCTGGCGAATCCCTCGATGAACGAACTGATGCAAACCATTCACCACACTGCCGCCTCCAAGGACGATCAACAAGGTGTGGTGGTCCTGGGATCTCGTCATGGCATCCTGGATCTGTCTGACTTTGATGCGGATCCCGATGAGGAGGAAATGGATGAGATGAATAAAGATTGTTTGGAAATTATTCATTTGGTAAGTAATTTATAAAAAGATTAACTAAATATCTAGAAATAATCCTTATTTGATTTTCCAGCAACTCGCTTATGAAATGCTACCCCCTGACGAGTGCCACAGGACATCGGATCACCTGCAAGGCAATAAGGACTCCAAGGATAATGAAATCGAGCTGCATCGGAGCCTATCGGTAGATGGCTTCAGCTACGCCCATCGTAGCCTACAGGACACGTCGGACCGTCTGCTGTGGGAGGTGCACTCCGAGGGTACTCTGATTCAATTGCCAGGAATCGATTCCACGCTCTCCGAACAGATGGTGCTCCTGAAGCCGGTTTGTGAGGAAGTCTTGTGGCAATCGGAGATCTTGTCCGGCCACCGGATGTGTTTCGATCAGGGGGACTCCGACTCCAGTAGTATTTGTAGTCTCATAGCCAATGGGGGGAAGTATATCAATTCCCTCATACCATCCGCTCCGCTTTCTTCAACTTTGCCTTCCAGTCGGGACTTGACGAAGGAGCCAGACCAAAAATCAGAAGGACACTTGTATTGGATAAATCTGGCCCACATACTCATGGTAATTGCGTGCCTGCGTGGCGTGTTTTAGGAGAAAAATATTCACAGACAAGGATGATTTTAATAATTCAGAAAACTCTGCAACAAAAGGAGAATATTTTAAAGTTTTTACCAGAAGTTAAAGAACGACGCAAACACGAATAACCAAGCATGGTTAAGATGTCCTTAAATCGAAATATGTATTTCCAAAATCTATCTTAAATTTTACAAAAAAAATACGATTTTTCTTATTTTTAATCTTGAGAAAATATTTGTGAATATCATTTAAAGGGATAAGGAAACTGTATCCCAGCAATCAGAGCTTCAGAAGCCAAAGGACATGAAAGGGCGGACTGGGCTGGATGCTGAAATCCTGACAGGACAAGACATTTGCTTTCGGGGTATTTATTTTGTCACTTTCCACCACTTGCTGATGATGGAAAACCGTCAGGGAAAAGCCAAATAAACACATTTCAGGACAGGACAGGGATGGGAGTTGGTCCGTTTGCCTTCGGGGGGCGGTGGATAACAAGGATATCAAGGATATATTTGCACATTTTTGGCCAACAGGCCTTGAATCCATATTAGGCACATTCTAATAACCAATTTGGACAAAACTGATGACATTTTATTCCACTTTCGTGCATTCCCTGTTGGAATTTTTAAATTGAATTTTAAAGACCCGGGCTTTGCTTAAAAGTTTGATTTTAATTAAAAGCAAAAAGTCCGCTACCGCTACTGCTACTGCCATTGCCACTGCCACTGGCATCCAAGGTATGAGTCCTATTTGGTACTCAGCCACAATAATAAAGTTTACTTCCAGCCACTTTGGATCTAATGCACTCAAAGTGCCATTAAAGGGTGGACCCAAGCCGAACCTGAGCGAGCCACCCCTACAACTTTACCGTTAAAAAGTCCACAAATCGAATTATTGGACACAAAGCGATCCAACAGGCTCGACAAGAGCTATCGACATCGACTACTAGTATGTAGTATGTCCTGGCCCGTATACACAGGTTGTCCCAGCGAGGACATATGTATATATATAAATATATATATTTTTGTGTTGTTTTACAATACAATAATAAAAATAATGCAATTTTCAGTGCCTAATTATATTAAAGACTGCAAATGCACACATGTGCACACTGTGATATTGTTAAACAAACTAAATACAAAACAATTAGTCGTGTGTGCCATACATCCCGGCTACTTATAGTAATCTGATTTGGACCTTTCATCAAAAATTAATTGGTTTACGGCGAAAACATTAGGCCTGGACTACAAACAGTCACTTTGCTTTGGCAACTTGTCGGAAATGAAAAGTTTTCGCCTTTTAATCAAATTATGTTTCATATCAAAAGCAATTTGAGGAGAGTCTCCGTTTATTATGTTTTTATTGGTTTTTAATTTAAGGTCCTTGGAATTTTGTGACTTGATTTTTTAAAGGTGAAAAATGGTAGCTTTAGGGGGTGGGAGTTTTAGGTACTTTTAAATTTTGAAAGATAAATATCTTGAGAAAAATTCTACTAAAAAATACATTTTTTTCTAATTTTTATAAAGCCCTTTCTGAAGTCCACTCTTTTATATTCATGATTTTCCTAAAAAATATTTACTTATTATAGCTCTACCCTTTTTCACAGTGCATACATTTATCGTTATTGTTGAAAACACCAAGCAACAAGTGTGGTTTATTGGCTAGCCAAGAATTAACACGACTTTTTATTAACCCAGAACCCAAAACTCACTGAATTGCGCATTTTGTTATGCTACAAGTTTTGTATTTTCTCTTCTGGGTGTGTTTGTGTGAAATGTCTGTGTTTTTGCATGTTGGTGTGTGTGTGTGTGGGTAAGGACTTCACACGTCACAAGTAATTCTGACGTAACTGAAACTTTTAGGATGTGTGACAGGAAGACGCAAAAACACAATGCATCATTCGACTTTGCCTAGACGACTGACTAACCAGAAATACTGAGTAGGAATGGAAATGGGTATGGGTATATGGGTATGAGAATGGGAATAAAACAGCTCAAAGTTTATTCTCCATCATTTGATAAAGTACGTTGAATAGCAGTAACTATACATGTATCTAGATATATATTTTGTGATATACACCTCTACATATATATATATGTATATATAGAGTCGTATAGCGGATGTCATGGCGGATGTTGTGAAACCTCTTTGTTGCGGCAAACACTTACGCACACTCACACAACAAATGAACCGGAAGTTGACAAACGTAACGCGTACTGTCACAGTCTGTGTGTCTCCGTGTGGATGTGTGGGTGGAGGAGCATGAACAGTAGGAAGGGGGGAGGGTGTGGGGAGGTATGAGGCATGTTATACTATATGTCGAGTGTGGCATTGTAACACGCACACTTCCGGTACCGCCAACCGACTCGCCACTCAGTTTGAGAATTTATCACTTGCCTTTGTGTATCGATAACCAAGTTGCCTCCCTGCTTTCGACTTGACACTCGAAAATGTCTAAAATAAGTGCTGCTCTGTTTCCATTTAATAACCAAATAATGACAGACAAGGGAATACCTCACATTCTAAACAATGGCATTCGAAAACAAGAAAGGAAAGCTAACTTCGGGCGGACCCGAAGTTTATATACCCTTGCAGTTAAAACCGGATATATATCGCAAACAACGGATATAGTTGGCCGATCCTTATGGGAATATGAATATATAATCCAATTTATTACAATACAAAATCTAAAAAAAGTCCCAAACTTCTATCTTCAAAAATACGAAAGTTGATATTTCTACCAAATACCATTTCCGATCGTTCAGTTATATGGCAGCTATGGGATATAGTCGGCCGATCCTAATGAAATTTGGTAGGTTGGATCAACTGACCAAGAATTAAATCTGTACTAAGTTCCAGCTTTCTATCTTCAAAAACACGAAAGTTGGGTCATTTCCGATCGTTCAGTTATATGGCAGCTATAGGATATAGTCGGCCGATCCTTATGAAATTTGGCATGACGTAATGTTTTGCCAAAAATAGCTCACATGTCAAATTTGAACTCTCTAACTCTAAAAACACCAAAGTTATACCATTTCCGATCAATCAGTTATATGGCAGCTATAGGATATAGTCGGCCGATCCGGGCCGTTCCGACTTATATACTGCGTGCAAAGGAAAGAAGGGTGTGTGCAAAGTTTCAAGACGATAGCTTTAAAACTGAGAGACTAGTTCGCGTAGAAACAGACAGACAGACGGACAGACAGACGGACAGACAGACGGACAGACGGACAGACGGACAGACGGACAGACGGACATGCTCATATCAACTCAGGAGGTGATCAAGAATATATATACTTTATAGGGTCGGAGATGTCTCCTTCACTGCGTTGCACACTTTTGGACAAAATTATAATACCCTCTGCAAGGGTATAATAAGAGCTTTAAATAGTGAATCTTTGAAATTGTTTGTTTCAAGTGTTTATGGGAGTAGTTTTTGGAGGAGCTTTGGGGTTTTAGTTGTTAATTAATTATATTTCTCTATTTGTAAAGTGATACGTTTTTTCTTAAATGATGATTTTTTAATCTTTTTTAGTGAAAGTATACTTTTCAAACAAAAAAATTACCACTTTCTTTCTAGCCTTTATATTTGAAACCCAATTTAATATCTAAGAAAAAGCTTTAAGGCAATGATTCTTAATTCTTTTACAATGTTGTCTTATGAAAAAATTTAAGAAATATAGTTTTTATAAATATTTAATGGAAATAAAGAAACTATCCACAAATTCTTTATATTTTTTAAAAAGTAATAAGATATGCTTTTTGTCATAGAGCACTTGTATATGTCTTTTATCTCTTTGATCTTTCTTTTTTACAATTAAGAAGTTACAGTTTTAAGTAATAATGAAAAAATAACCATTAATAGTAATGGAATATTGTATAACAAAACTTTATAAACTTCAAAATCTTTAAAATATATCCAATTATATAACAAGTTATGCACTAAAAAAGCTTTTATTTTGTCCTTAGATTTAATTAGGATTTAAGACTCTTGTTTTTTACTATTTCTTCCTTAAATATTTTACTACAATTTCATACTAAAGTAAAGCATGTTTTTATTACCTAAATGGCAATTCATATAAAAAATTCACTTCCGTACCGGTCGTACCAAATATGGTCATTGCCAGACTAGATATAGATGCAATTGGATGGCTGGACAAAAAAAGAGTCACCTTTTCTGCTTCGAAATTTTCCCCCTTTTTTGTCGTAGTGGTACTCACATTGACATATGTTTATGGCCAAATATACCGGCCTGCCATGGGCATGGGCCTGGGCATGGGCCCTTTAGCCCAACACGATTGCAATTTAAATATGGCCCAGGTTCAAGCCCGAGAGTATCGCGAAGGCAATAGACCGTGACAGTGGACAAAGATATAGTTCGATGGCCGGATGGTCGTTTGTCTGACTGCCAGACTGAATGACTGACTGACTGACTGAATGAATGACTGACTGAATGGATGGATACCTGGTGGACTGGATACTGGACTGAATGACTAACTGACTGAATGGCTGACTGACTTGGTTGGTTGGTTGGTTGGCGACCGAAAGCGGTTTAATTGTGCACGGGGCATTTGGGGGGGCGGCTTGTAAAGGCCAAGAGAGGTAGGTACCATTCGAAAGCCATTCGAGTTTATTGTGTTCATTCAACAAAGCACCGCCCCGGAAATCTGGAATGCTCATAATACCCTAGCCGAAAGGTATATATGCAAAGGGGGTGGCTACTTAGCCTCTGAGCTCTTTAGAACTCCCAGTTAATAATAAGGGTTAATAAGAGCTATTTATTTCGAGTTTATTAGCTGTTTCATTAGGAGGTTTTTGGTGGGGAATATAAGTAGGTGTTATGGTTTATTGTAAAGACTTGTAAGCTAAAATATATTTGTTATTTAGAACCTAAATAAAATACTAAAATTAGCTTGAACTATGGGAGTTAATATTGAAATAATCGTTCTCTTGGCAAGCTTTACAAGCCTTTTTCTTAATGAAAGTTCTTTAGTTATATAGTTTGTTTTAATAAACATGTCTTGAAATTTAAACATACTTTTATATATATTTTTTTTAAATATATAAAAAGACCTGTTTTTTCAAAAACTTCATAGAACAATCTAACCGACAAGTATTTAAAGAACTAACTAACATGATGTGAATATTAATGGATTTTAAAAAGATTAAAACTTTGTACAATATAACAAAACTTTGTAAATTTATAACTTTTACTAAATTAGATTTTAAATC